TGGAGTACAGTGACACAATCATGGCTCACTGCAGCCTCTACCTCTCAGGTTTAAGCAATTCTCCCACCTCCTTCCCACCCAGGAGCTGGGATCACAGAGGCACCACCATGCCTGGCTAATTTTTTGTATTTTTGGTAGAGACAGGATTTCACCATGTTGCTGAGGATGATCTCAAACTCCTGAACTCAGGAGATCCACCTGCCTCAACCTTCCAAAGTGCTGGTGTTACAGGTATGAGCCACCATGCCCAGCCTGACTGGATAATTTTAAATGACATGTATTCAAAAATTACTGAGCCTTTCTTCTGCTTGATCTAGTCTGCTGTTTAGTCCCTCTAGTAAAATTTTCAGTTCAATTTTTATATTCTTTATCTTTAGAATTTCTGTTTGGTTCTTTTTTATAGTTTTTGATATTCTCATTTTGTTTATGTTTTATTTTTATGATTTCATTTAGTTGTTTATCTGCATTGCCATATATAACTCATTGAGTTTCTATGAAATGATAATTTTGAATTGTCAGGCAATTCACAGATCTCTCTTTTCTTAAGACCGGTTGCTAGTGCTTTTCTTTCTTCTTTGTGTCATAGTTGTCCCACTCATTGTATTTCTTGTAGCTTTGTGTTGATGTCTGTATATTTGAAGAAATGTCCACCTCTCTCATTCGTTAGGCCTGAGTTCAACATGGAAAGCCCTTCACCAATCAGCCTAGCGAGAGATTTTGGGAGCCTCTCATTTTTTTTCTAGGGATATGTATACTTCACTTCCCTCCTTCCCTCCTGGGGAAGAGGTTTAAGGGTTATGTATCTTTTCCCAATCTTGCATAATTGTGCCAGCTGCGGTGAACTACTCACCTCTTTTCTTTATTCTTGACTTCCCCTAGGAATTTAAACTATTCTGATTCTCTAAGTGTTCTGAGCGAGGCAGGGCAGAAAGAAGTCCCTTGGGCACTGGGCCAAAATGCCAGGAATGATGAATATATGCTGCACTCTCTTTTTACTCCTAAATGGAGCATCCACAAGCTGAGGCAATTTCTCCCAGCGCAGAGCTGTGCCAAATTGCGGGAGGGGCTGATGGTAAAGTAAATTGCTCTTCCAACTCATTTCAGTGTGGCCGATATCAGTATTTTTGCTCATCAGGGGGTACTTCTTAACTGCAATCTGAAATATGTATAAAGGTATTTTGCTCTGCATATCATTGTTAACTTATCATTGCTAAGTATTTCGTTGTTTCTGTAGGGAGATAAGGGCTTAGAACTTCCTGTTCCATCATCTTTTGATATCAAGGAATTACAAATTTCAAAGGCAGTTTTGTTGTATTTTTATTTTTTTGTGTCTGAAAATAATATTCTTCTACCTCACAGAAGAAAACAAAATCAAATCATAGTGACAGAAGAGACTCTAGAGATAATCTTAATCCATCTAATTACATAATTCCTGAGAAGAACAGAAAAGTCAATGTTATCAGCCAGAGAATGTTATAAGCCACAGGGACTCCTATGCCTGCCAAAGGAGGCTCTAAGATGATCATATGGGGTTGGCTATGACTGGACAATAACAAGGTAAGTAACTGGGCTTAGGAGTTTTGCTACAGTGCTCTTCTAACAAGAAACTATATTTTCTTTTTAAAAAATTTTATGTAGTGACAGGGTCTTGCTATGTTGCTCAGGTTGGTCTTGAACTCCTGGCTTCAAACAATCCTCCCACCTCACTTTTCCAAAACACTGAGATTACAGGTATAAGCCACCATGCCTGGTCTGAAGCTTTATATTTTCTACCTATCCAATGTGAACCCAGATTTTAACCCATGAAGAGAACTCTAAGGGTGTATTCACCTTTTTTGAAGAGCTTCTTTTTAATTCTTTTGAAGTTTTCAGTTACTCATATTCTTAGAGGAAGGCATGACTAACAGGAAGTCTTTGGAAAAGGCTGGGTGAGAACTGTCAAAAGGCCGCAATTAAGGTATGTGCTGTGGCTTGGGTCTTCTTTTGAGGTCTTCTCCCAAACTCTCATGGTTGTTTGCAGGTTCATTTCCTCCCAGCTTTAGAACTCGTAATACTTTGCTTCTTTAAGGTCAGCAAGGGAGCATCTCTGATAGTGGGGAAGGCCTAAATCTTATTTTAAAGGGCTTATCTGATTAGGTTGGGCCAGGCCAAAATAATTTCCTTTTGATTAACAGAGATTAATAAACTCAAAGTCATTCTGATTAGGGACTTCATACCTGTAAAATCTCTTTATCCTTGCCAGAAAATACAACCTAATTGCAGGATTGATATTCATCATATTAATAGGTCTACCCACACTCAAGAGAAGGCAATAACACAGAGTATGTACACCATGGGGGGGAGGTCTTGGTGGCCATTGTAGAATTCTTTCTATGACACTTATGTCAGCATTTTCGTTGTGCTCTGCAGATCACAGAGTGTAAAGTACTGTTTTCTGTGATTGTAGATATTTGTTACAAATTCAAAACTGAATCATATGCTTTCAAAATTGATAGAACAGAATATAGGTGGTCAAGGTACCAGATGAAATTAAATTTTATTCTTCCATTATGTTAAATTAGCATCTTTTCCTTTCAGAAATCACTTACATTGCTTTCTCATATGTTAATCAGACACCTGTGACATTTTTATAGTAAATGCAAAGTGAGAAAGATTTTAGGTGATCAAAGTGAATAGGCCTAACTAGTTCACAGCTCTGAGATGTGGCCACACTGAATATTCATGGAAAGAACAGACCTTACAGAGTATCCTGCATATTTACACTTGTATCAGTCAGCTTGTGCTGCCATTACAGAGTATAATAGACTGAGTGGCTTCAACAACAGAAATTTATACGTTCAAAGTTCTGGAGGCTGAAAATCCAAGATCAAGGTACTGGCAGGCTTAGTTTTTGGTGAAGCCTTGTCTTAGTCAATTTGGGCTGCTATAACAAAATACCCTAGACTGGGTGGCTTAGAAACAATAGAAACTTATTTCTTACAGTTATGGAAGCTGGTAAGGCTAAGATCAAGGCACTGGCAGATTGAATGTCTGGTGAGGGGCCACTTTCTGGTGATAGATGTCCCTTTCTTGCTTTGTCCTAACATGGCCAGCTCATACAAGGAGACAGAGAGGGCTCTGGTGTCTCTTCCTTTTCATATAAGGACACCAGTCCTATAAGCTTAGGGTCCAACCATTATAACCTTATTTAACCTTAATCATCTCCTTGAGGGCCCCATCTGTAAATACAGTCACACTGGGAGTTAGAGATTAAGATATGAATTTGTTGGGGTACACAACTCAGTCCGTAACAATTTTCAAAATATCTGTGGGCAATGAACAACCCTGTGGATTTCCTGCTTATCATGACCCCCAGATAATGTTTAAAAATCACTAATTACCATTCATAAATATATTCACATATTCCAAAAATAACTCTCCATCTATTTTAATTGCTAAAATAATAGAGTATCCAAGGCAACAAGGACACCTGTGCTACCCTGAGAAGTGCAGCAGAGCAACCCCTGTCTTTTTTATTCTGACAGAATTAATGCAAACAACCCAGCTGAATCATTTTTGTTTTCCTAGTAATGAGACAAGAAAATTCCCCATGGGGCTTCATAAACAGAAAATAACATAGTTACATAGCCAAGTACATGTTGATCTCTAGTGGCCCTCTCTAAGGGAAAGCACAGCGCATAGAGTGTAGACTTCTCCTACACAGAATTAGGTATTAATGTAAGGATCTGTGGTTGAGATTGCTTTTTATAACCTAATATACACTTTCTCCCTCTCTTGTTAGAGCCCCTGTTTTACAATGGGATGTCAGTGTGCCCTGTTAAGAAATTACATTTTCTATCCTTCCTTGTGGCTATAAGTGGTCAATGCAACCTAGATTATTGTCTGAGACTCATGAGAAGGCTCTTACAAAGAGAGCAGATAGCTAGCATGTGCCCTTCTCAGCCCTTACCTCTCCAACCTTCCTCTTGTTTCCTGCTTGGAGCACAGATTTGATATGTGCAAATATAGCATCCATCTTGGATGACTGGAACTTCAGGAACCATCTTGAATAAGGGATAATTTCAAAAATGGAAGCCAAATATTAAGAAAGATGGACCTAAAACACAGATGAAGCCGAGGTCCATAATGATGCTTCATAAAGCTTCCATAGCAACCCTAGACGGTTGAACTCTTTCATGTGAGGAAGAAATACATGTTTTCTATCTTACTTAAAACACGATTTCTGCTCTCTGTTATTAGCTGTGTAAAAAAGTTTCTCAACTGATACAAAGTGAAAACTAAAAATCTCAAAATATAAAAATTACCTTAGAAAGTCAATTAGATCTCCCATAAAATCCCCCATAAACTACAGTAAAACAGGGAGGCATAGGGCATAAGAATGGGTTATAGGTAAAGGCAATTAAGCCTTTAATTCTTGGGCCAGTCAAGAAAACAGACCAATTAGGCTCTATCCTTGCATTGTTTTAAGCTAGTATTTGCCTTTCAGAAATTGTCTATGTTGCTTTCAGAGATTGTAATTCAGAAATTCAAAATCATGTGTATTCTGAAAAGTCTTGTGAAGCACCACATGTACATGCGTGTATGTTTCTCTATGACTTCTCATTAACATTTCAATATTTTTTCATGGCTGTTGAACAGGTCATTAGCACAGACATCCTGACTACCAGAGCAGTGTATTCCATTCACAATTATTAGAAACTCCTTAAAAGCATGTATACCTTCTCCCCGTTGGTTTTGGATTAAGCTAAGTTTGGTTATATCATAACTGTTCTTTAAGCAGAATTGTGGGAAAAATTATAAATTTGATTTATATTGCTCTTTGTTTTATTTTTCTTCTTTTTCTTTATCTTGCATTGGATTTAACTCTATTATATGTTCAAAATTGAGGAAAGCCATTTGTGGCCACATGGTTTTGTCAAGTGAGTAACTGGAGGTCTGAGAATAGTAGGTGAGAGGTTCTAGAACTCAGATTTTTCTAAGGAATGTTACCACGTTACTAAGCTATGCAACATATCTTGACAACCAGGGAGCCACATAGGCTCCTTGGAGAAAGAGTGTGAGATACTGGATGAAGACAGCTGTATTATTTTGGAAGCGTTCGAGATTGGTCTGTCTCTACCAACTAAAAACTTCTAGCTTAAGTGCAGAGATTTAAGGAGATTAACAAAAACTCAGTCTAGACATATTACAAGGCTGGGAGGGTATCAACAGACTTGAGTTCCTGTAAGGAAGTCACCTGCTTTTAATACTGTCCTCAGGTATAATTTTAAAATCATCATTAGAATAATGTTCTAAAATTTTAGGTATGATTTAGTTAATAGTCTTCAAGTTCATTCTTTTTTCAAGAGTATGTAAAAGCCAAATAAGTCTCTTTTAAGAAAATGAAATACACATTGTTTTCTTGTTGACTTTTTTTTCAAAATTTAAAGTGGATCACCACCCTTAAATCTAAGAGAATTGATGTGGGACAGAGATATATAGATTAACTGAATAATATCAGCTAACATTTAAGTCAATTTCATCAGGTTATAGATAAACAGACTGAAATCTAGGCAATAGAACAATTAATCTGTGGTCACTTTGCTGGTTAGTGGCGAATCTGGGACCATGAATCCTATCTTTAAATTTCTGGTTTAATGTCTTTTTCACTCTCCAAATTGCCTGCTGTACTCCTTTCCCCTCAATACAAGTAAAAAGCAAATTTACTGGCTCAATTGTACAAAAGGCCCCATACCAAAAGAATGAGTAAGTCTAAAGTGTGATTTAAACAAAGAGGTCAGAACTAGCTCCTCACTATGATATTCACAAAGAGCAATATGAAAATACACCTTTTATTGCTAGATAGATATTTTCTGGATTTAATATCTACATATATTTTACCCAACCTAGGATAATTTTAGTATTTATGTATATCAAACTGAAGTTCCTGAAAACCAGTTGTTCTGTGGCAACAAGGCTGGGAATTTATACACCATACACTCTAAGTATATAGCATGAAGCACTTAAACATAGATTGCTTTGGTCTAAAAAGACAGTCAATGATCTAAAAGCATCCATCCCAACAAAATCCTGAGATCAATTTCTAGAACATGAACATGTTTTAAACTCTGCAAATTACTCTAACCCAAAAAATCTCTGCCATGGTTATAAATAAAACATGTATTTCCCAATTCTGCTACAATGAATAAGATTTCCATGTAAGATAGAAAAAATGCAACAGGCACCAGAAAATCATCCTTCTTAGATTTCAAAATTGTATACTATTTTCAAGAAAGTTTAAATAACGACTTTCTATGTTCTTAATCCAGAAAAGTTTTTTCTCACATGGTTGTGAATTCACCAAGATACATAACATTATCTTTAATCTCCCAGGTCTATGACACCATAGGTGTCTAAAAATGTTAACTGTTACTCAGTATTGCAAACAACAATATGGCAAAGGTTCTCTGGTTTATCATCTCTAGATATATCACTCTTTTGGACTTTTTTCCTCCTTTAGGTTTTACCATTCTCTGAGAAGATGATACACATTTTAAGATGCTGGGTTTTATAAGTACAATATGAAGAGTCTTTACTTAAAATTAATTCAATGTAAAGTGCATTTGTGAGTATTGTATTTAAAAGTCATCATTTAAATTTACTGTATCAAAATTGATAATCATGTAATACATTTTTTGTTGGTAAGCCAACAAAGTGAGCTCAAATGAAATTAAAAACAGAATATACCTATGCTTTTTATAAATATAATATAAATATTTCAAAATCAAACACTTTGATTTTCCTCTAGGTAAATTTTTTATGATCCACCCATGCCTATGCTTTTCAACGTTTACAAAAATTTGGTTTGAAAACAAAATAGCCTCACATTGCTGTAACATGAGAAACAATTTAGTTCAAGCAAAGAAGATGAAGAAATGTTTGATATATAAGAAAATGACAAGAAACTCTTGTCAGAATGTTTGTCATTTTGTGATTTCAGGGTCTGAGCACATCTGGAAGTGAGGTCAATCAAGTTAGACCCCAAAAACTTTTGTGACAACAGTGGAGAGGGGAAAATAAACACACCATGAACATGAACCTCAACCCCCCAACATCTGCTCTTCAGATCGAAGGCAAAGGCAGCCATATTATGGCTAGAAATGTAACCTGCTTTCTAGTCAGACACACCCCTCATCCCAGAAGAGTCTGCCACATCAAAGGTAAGGTGACTTAAGGTCCTAGTATGTGTCTCTATCCTCTACACTTGGGCTATTTGCTAATTCTGGCAGGTAAACACAAGGCTGCTATTCAAAATATTTAACCACTGGAGAGGTATGGGCATTGACTGTTGGGACTAGGTGCCAGCACTGGAGTGACAGCAGGGGCCTGGAGTCCCTCTCTGTGTCATACAGTAACACTTAAATTGCTTGATTGTTAGGATAGAGACCTGGAGAGGGGCCAAAGTGGAGGACCACTCAGGGAGCTCAGGGCAGCCTTGACCCATTGATATAAAAATATTTCAGTATTTTAACAATCCACACATCCATGCTAACATCTACATGCTAAATATCATTCCTAAGGAAGCATATGTTTTACTCCTGCTTCCTTCCCTTCTGTCTTGTCTTTTCTCCCTCCTTCCTTGCCTCCTGACCTCATTCCCTCTCTCGCCTTCTCCCTTTCTTCTCTTTCCTTCCTCTCTCCTTTCCTACCTTTTACTTTAACTTTATACAATAGAATTACTCAAAATTAGACATTAATAACAGCATTTCCCTTTTGAGGGAGGCAGTTAAATTGAGCTTGGATTGAAGAATTTTAAAAGTATACAGTTTTTAAACACATCTTGCATTCTGAGATGTTTTGAGAGGTACGAAGAGAAAAGGGTTCTGATGTTTTGAGGGGTACATTTCTCAAGGTTATTAAATATATGGAAAATAAGCAGAATTGTTTGGACTTCACAGGGTGAACCAGCCAATTCACCTAGGATGCGGTGACTGTGTGATACCACTCCCAACAAAGTAGCATATCAACATTGGCTATTGGGTATAATCTAAATAGACCCTTACACTTATCCTTGAGATTCTTATTCCCCAGGAGAAATGCTGCCATAGTGAGCCCCAGCAGATGGAAATGTGTCATATTCCTGAGGTGACAGAAAAAGTGACATTAAAAACCAATGTCATTTGGCTTAGGCAAATAATTCATGACTAACACCACAAAAGCAAATGCAACAAAAACAAAAATAAACAAATAAATTGGACCCAATTAAACTAAAAAGCTTCTCCACAGCAAAAGAAATAATCAGCAAACAGAAAACTTGCAGAGTGGGAGAAAATATTTGCAAACTATGCATCCGACAAGGGACTAATATCCAGAATCTATAAGGAACTCAAAGAAATCAGCAAGAAAAAACAAATAATCTGATGAAAAAGTGGACAAGTAACAAGAATACAAAATTCTCAAAAGAAGATATACAAACAGCCAACAAACATATGAAAACATGCTCAACATCACTAATTATCAGGGAGATGCAAATTAAAACAACAAAGAGATATCACCTTACTCCTATAAGAATGGCCATAATTAAGTCATAAAACAATAGATGTTGGCATGGATATGGTGAAAAGGGAACACTTTTACACTTACGGTGGAAATGTAAACTAGTATACAACCACTAGGAAAAACAGTATGTAGATTCCTTAAAGAACTAAAGGCAGAACTGTCATTCAATCCAGCAATCCCCCTACTGGGTATCTACTAAAAGGAAAATAAGTCGTTATATGAAAAAGGCACATGTGCATGCATGTTTATACCAGAACATTTCACAATTACAAAGATAAGGAACCAACCTAAGTGCTCATTAACCAAGTGGATTTAAAAAATGTGGTATACATACACCATGGAACACTACTCAGACATAAAAAGGAATGAAATAATGTCTTTTGCAGCAACTTGGATCGAACTGGAGGCCATTATTCTAAGTGAAGTAACTCATGAATGGAAAACTAAAGATTACATATTCTCACAAGCGGGTGCTTGTAAAGTATACAGTTTTTAAACACAAGCTAGAGGATGCAAAGGCACAAGAATGATATAATGAACTTAGGGATTCAGTGGGAAGGTTGAAAAGGGCGTGAGGGATAAAAGACTACATACTGGGTTCAGTGTACACTGTTTGGGTGATGGGTGCACCAAAATTTCAGAAATCACCACTAAAGAACTTATCAGTAACAAATCATTCTGTTATAAAGACACCGGCACCTGTATGTTCACTGCAGCACTATTCATGGCAGCAAAGACGTAGAATCAAACTAAACGCCCATCAATGATAGGCTGGATAAAGAAAATGTATACATATACACCATGGAATACTCTGCAGCCATAAAAAGAATGAGATCATGTCCTTTGTAGGGATACGGATGGAGCTGGAAGCCATTATTCTCAGCAAACTAACGCAGGAACAGGAAACCAAATATCACACGTTCTCACTTGTAAGTGGGAGCTAAATGATGAGAACACAGGGACACATAGAAGGGAACAACACACACTGGAGCCATTCAGAGGGTGGAGACTGGGAGGAGGGAGAGTGTCAGGAAAAATAACTAATGGGTACTAGGCTTACCACCAGGATGATGAAATAATCTGTACAACAAGCCCCAATGACACAAGTGTACCTATCTATGTAACAAGCCTGCAGTTGCACTCCTGAACTTAAAATAAAAGTTAAAAAAAGAACTTATCCACGTAACCAAAAATCACCTGTGCCCCCAAAAACATTGAAATAAAAATAAAAATAAATTATTAAATTTAAATATAAAAAAACAATGCCATGATAGAAATAAACCAAGCTTTTTTGAAAAAAGGGCAGAGTCCGGAGATAGAGAAGAGAATTAGGAGGCTGCTGCACCTGTGCAGATACACGAGGACAAGCAACCCTGCTATGCTCCTGGCAGCAGGACCAAGCAATGGCAGAATATGAGGCTAGAGAGAGTTTGTAGGGAAGAAATGAAAAGGTGCTGGTTACTGATTAGTATAGAAGGTGAAGAGGAACAAATCACACACCCTTTGCACCTTTCCCCACCCTTAGTTATTATAACTAAAAAATGATGAAACAGGGAAGCTGAAAGGGAGAAGGTGAAGTCATTTCATTCAGCAGATATTTATTCAATTTCTAATACATAAGAAGCTTTGTTCTAGATGTGGGAGATAGAGGAAAGTTTCTGAGGGAGGAAAAAAATGTCCCTACCCTCATGGAGCTCACATTCTCATCAGACAATAAAATCAATTCAGTGGTATACATACTGCATGTGTAGTAACACCAGGCATCCAAATGGAAATGGGCTGCCTACAATCCCAAACCTAGAATAGAAATCTATGTCTGAGTCTCAAATGGGAACTTAGGAGTAAAGATGCACATCGGGAGTCATCAGCATAGAAGTGATATTTAAAGGCATGAATATTGATCATCTCTTTATTCATTCAGCCATCTATACGTTTATTCATTCATTCAACAAACATTTATTTAGAATGAAAATATAGGCAAGAGCCTGCCCTCAGGAGCTGGACTATCTGGCTGGTCAAGTCACTCTGTGAAATGACATTAGTAACAATAATACCTACATCAGGGTTAAGTATACAAACAAGGAAGGCAAAGGCAACAGCAAAGGAATATTAGGAAACTTTGTAGAAGAAGCTCCATATGCCTGTTATGGAGCATGTGGGTAGGAGGGAAGGGATAATGGAAAGTCGGGGTGGAGAAGTGGATAAGAGGCCAGATTTAGGCAGGCTCTGGATATCATGCTAGGGAATTTATATTTCTTCACAACCAAAAGAAATGTCTACATTCATGTTTTTACTTCCTCTCCTCGGAGCCACTCTTCAGCCCACTGAAGCCTGGCCTTTTCACCCACCATTCTGCATAGGCTGGGCTTGCTAAGTTTACCACTATTCTTCAGTTTGACAAATCCAATGCAAAGAGGATCTGCTGGCTCAAGTAACTGGAAAGTCCATAAGGGAGGTGGGCTTTAGGTTTGAGTTGATGGCCCACTTAAACAAGATGTTTTTTAAAAGCTCTTCTCTCTGCCTTCCACAATTCCAGACTCATCCTAGAGCTGGCTTGCTCCTCTCCTAGTGGCAACATTGCTAAATCAGTTCTTAGTTTCACATCTGCATGCCACTTTGACTTCTTCCCCAGCAGATTTCAGCAAAATTCTCTTTATGTTTTCATTTTACCAGCACACACCAGGTCACATGCTATCCTTGAATGAATCCCCATGGACAGGGAAGTGGCATGCACAGATTAGCAGGCCATGGTTCAGATAACCAATCACTACAGCAAGGGGAATTGGTTCAATCTTCCCCAGAACATATGGCTGCAGGGGCTGCAGAGTGGTAGATAAGGGGAGGAAAATGAAGCAAAATAACCTGAGTAGTGTTGTTAAGGAAAGATAGAAACAGGTCCTGGGCAGAACTGACAGATATCCACTACACTGCAATTCTCTTCTTGACCCCTTGGCTGCATTTGACACAGTTAACCACTCCTCCCTTCCTCTTTCTCTTTCCCTTTCTCTCTCTTTCTTAACCTTTTAAAAAATGTAGCTTCTGTAACAACATACGCTTTAGTTGTTTTTCCTCTACCTCTGTGGCTTCTCCTTCCTAGCTTTATTTTTGTTCTTCAGTAAATGCTGGAGTCCCTCACAGCTCAGTCCGTGGCTGTTTCCTCTTTTTAATCTGTAATGGGATGCTAGACAAATATGTTCATTCACAAGTTTCAAATACCCTCTATAGGCCAAATATTTTTCAAATATGTATCTCAGACTCAGACACCTCTTCAAAAGTGTAGACCTATATATTCAACTGTCCACTTGCAAGGCACGGGATGCCTCGTGGGCACCTTGAACTTTGCTCTTCAAAATTGAACTCTTGATCTTCCTTCAAAAGCAAGGTCCCCCAACCAATGTATCCTAACAAATAAATAGTATTGTAAAATCTAAGTTCTTCTTTAACTCCTCTCCCTCATTCTCGTCCCCTTCCAATACTTCGCTTGATCTTGTCATTTTCCTTCTCAATATTTTATAAATTAAGTCACTTCTCTCCATGGCTACTGTCACAGCTCCATTCTAGGCCACTATTATCTCCTGCTTTGACTACTACTTTGCAACTTGCAGCCCTCATAGCAGCTTTACTTCCACTTTTGCCCTCTCTCCAGTCAATTCTCCATAGAGCAACCAGAAAGATCATATTAAAATATATTTGCCTATTTAGGCCAGCCTCAGTAGCTCACACCTGCAATCCCAACACTTTGGGAAGCCAAGGTGAGAGGATTGCTTGAGGTAAGGAGTTGGTGGTGCACCTGTAGTTCTAGCTACTCAAGCTGAGACAGGAGGATCACTTGAGCCCCTGAGTTCAAGGCTGCAGTGAGCCATGATTGTGCCACTGCACTCCAGCTTGGGTGACAAGCAAGACCCTGTCTCTTAAAAAAACAAACAAACAAACAAACAAACAAAAACATACATATATAGACTGTTTATCCTACACAAAATCCTTCAGAAGCTTCCCATGCATTTAGGATAAAGCAGTTCATTTTGACATAGGCTAAAATGTTCCCTATTATGTGGCCTCATCTCCTATCAACCCCCTCCCCCATTATGCATATGCCACAGTGGACTTGTCTAAGTTGCTTGAACATGTCACAAGCTCTTTCCCACCTCTGTCTGCATTTCCACACATACTCTTCCCTCTAATTATAAACCTCCCCTCATTATTTGTGGTTCCTCATTTTGGTTTAAATATCATTTCAGAGAGACTTTTCAGGCTCCACATCCTCAATCTAAATTAGATTTTCTTACGGTATTTTTTCATAGTACTCTATATTTTTCTTTAGAGCAATTGTCTTAGATAGACTCTGAGGTGGAGATTTGTGTGAAGGAGCTTTATTAGGAAGTGCTTTTGGGAACAACACTGATAAGAAAGCAGTAAGTAAAGGAAGAAGAACTGGGTAGAAGGGGAAGTGGAACTGCGGAAACAATAGGGACCTCAGCCAATTGCAGGAGGAGCAGTGGAGCTGGGATATCCCTTCAGAGGTGTCTCAATTCCAGGTAAGGGGGCCAGGCCTTTGTAATTCCTACCAACCAGTCACTGTGCACAAGAGCTCTCGCTGTGTATGAGAGCGAGAGCAATTCCCGGAGAGGGACTCAGAAGGAGCCATAAGTAACTGACATATGTGGAGCTGGGGAGCTGAAAGCCTAGGTGCTGAAGGCATGATCTAGGTAGGTGGTGGGGGTACTATAGCAATTACCACACCATATGTTGTGATAATAATTATTTTCATCATTAGTTGAATAGTTTCAGAAATCCTCCACTAAGCTGTGATCTCCATGAAGGTGTGTCTGTTTTGTTCATGATTTACCTCAACTTCCTAAGGAGTGGTTACCACAAGTGAGGTGCTAGATAAATTATTGTGGGAGGAAGGGAGTTTAAATTGCATCCAGATAAAATTGTAGAGTTACCGACAGATTTTAAACAGGATTTATATTCTACACCAGCAGTCTCATAGTTCTATGTCCCTGAGGAATTGATTTCATTCAAAAAATCATTCTAGCTGTATTGTAGAAAGTGGAAGATGAGCAGGACCTTACTAGACATTGGGAGATCGGTTAGAAGATGGACTCAGTCGTCAAAGTGGGAAGGAATGAGTGACAGGCCAGGGCAGAGAGAGGAGCAGAGAAGGTCGAACTCGGGGTAGAGTGAGGAAATTTCAGCTAAGTAGCACAGAGAGAACCAGCAGAGGGAAACAAATTCAAGGAAAATGGCTAGGTGACTAGCAAAGTCATATTCCTAAAGGAGATTAGGAAAATGAAGGCCAAGGGGAAGCAAACAGATGTCACTATAAAGAAGTCATAGATGGCCTTGGAATACATTGTCTTGACCAAACCTGAGGGTACGGTTTTTCACAACCTACATGTGGGAAAAAACCCCAAAACCCACATTTAATTTTTATTTGAAACTGTTTTTTTTTTCTCTATGAAGAACAAATAGTATTAAATTGAATAATTTTTTTCTGGTTTTATATACTTCAAAGCACTTGATATATACCTCTTCTATATTTTCTTTCACATTCTGCTTCAAATTTTCTTATCATAGACTACAAAACTATTGGCAGGCAAGGGACTAATTTTTATGTCTTCAACTCTCCTCTAATGCCTGCCACAAAGCCATGCTCATAGTAATATATGTTCAATTGAAAGAAAATTTTCAATTCCAACATTATTTGTCTGCCTTAGAAATCTAGCTAATTTTAACACTCACTTCTGGGGTGGGGGGAAATCTTTGATTAACACTTGGTCCCATTTACAAACTTTGTTAATTAAATACCTTTAAAAGCTTTAAATGACACTTATTCATTAAATATACTTGATTTTAAAAAATATTTTACATACTTATCAAATTATCACTAAGTTGTAAATAACTCCTGTAAGTTAAATAAATTATACTTATAAATGTAGATAACTTGGCCGGGCACGGTGGCTCAAGCCTGTAATCCCAGCACTTTGGGAGGCCGAGACGGGTGGATCACGAGGTCAGGAGATCGAGACCATCCTGGCTAACACGGTGAAACCCCGTCTCTACTAAGAAATACAAAAAATAGCCGGGCGAGGTGGCAGCGCCTGTAGTCCCAGCTACTCGGGAGGCTGAGGCCGGAGAATGGCGTGAACCCGGGAAGCGGAGCTTGCAGTGAGCTGAGATCCGGCCACTGCACTCCAGCCTGGGCTACAGAGCGAGACTCCATCTCAAAAATAAATAAATAAATAAATAAATAAATAAAGATAACTTAAGCCATTTCTTTACTGTTTACCAACTTAATAATATTTTCATAGTGTTCTACTTAAAATCAGAAATGTAAAATCATTTTAACATTTTAAACTGTAATTCCAAAACTAATTTGTTAGATATTCTAATATTCCAAATTAGCTAATAAGCATTAGCTTAAATGTGTATTTAAGATGTAGATCGGTCCAGGCATGGTGGCTCACACCTGTAATCCCAGCACTTTGGTGGGTGGATCACAGGTCAGGAGTTTGAGACCAGCCTGTCCAATATGGTAAAAACCCGTCTCTACTAAAGATACAAAAAATTAGATGGGCTTGGTGGTGCACATCTGTAATCCCAGCTACTCAAGAGGCTGAGGCAGGAGAATCGCTTGAACCCAGGAGGTGGAGGTGGCAGTGAGCCAATATTATGCCATTACACTCCAGCCTGGGGGACAGGGCGAGACTCCATCTCAAAAAAAAAAAAAAAAAAAAGATGCAGATCTTAAATTTGTGACCATTGTATATCGTGTATTTAAGATCGATATCTTAAATAATTTAATCTTACATTCTAATGCCGCTCAGATAAGCAATGTGCAAACAGATGTATTATGATATGTGACAAATGCTGTGGAAAAAATAAAAGCACATAAAGGGACAGAGAGTGATGGGGCTCGTTTCAGACAGAGTTGCCAGCAAAGATGATTTTGATGTTATTGGAGAAGACAATTCAGAATGAGGTGAAACAGTGGTACTGGAGGGAGATTTGGAAAAATGAGCAATTGTAGAAAACAGTATCGAGAAGCTTGCCTGGCAATTTCTGGGAAGGCAAAGCAGTCATCTTTTACTACTTCTCGTAACTCGCTGATTAACAGATAGCAATACCCAGCACACCCTCATTTCCTAAGCTGTCCAGTTTCACATGACATAGCATTGATATTGAAAAGAGAACCTTTCTATAACTTAATATTTGAACCAAATCCTATATTTGAGCCAAAAGTGAATAGTTATTTTTAGGAGAGTGATTGAACCCAGAAATCTCTCGTGTATGAGGAAGGAGTTCCTTTTATACCAACCTCTCCTTCCTCCTTCTGTCACAATTTACCTTATCCTGGCTCCTATTCCCAGCTCCTACAGCTTTTTACCTTCTGCCAGGACAAAGGAGGAGCCAGGGTATCTCTTCTAGAAGACCTATTTACATTGAGGATTCTGGATGCTTTAAAAAATTTAAATCTGACATTCTTGAAAAGAGCCAGCACAAACCCTCTTAGTCATTATCAAGCTTTGGGAAATGAGAGATTTGTCTGGGATAAAAAGAAGGTCTACTCCACTGGAATCCCAGACCAAGATCGAAGATGTGGTCTGGCTCTCAATACTGACAAAATGGCAGGAGATTTTAAGGAAGCATGTAATTGGCTACACTGACTTTCAAAGAATGTCTACCTTGCACTGGTTCATAATACATTTTTTTTTTTTTTGGTTCATACAATTTGAAGTCCAATGTTTTACATACATTTAATGATATTTGGTTGGGGAGTTGTTGATCGTTCAAAGAAAACCTTCCAAACATCTAATCTGGTTGTTTGATCTTTCTCTTTTTATAATCTTTACTCAACTAGGCTTGAATAACATTCCAATCTGTACTGTGAATGATGATGAGAATGCATTTGGAACATTGTGGGGAGCTGGCCAGTCTAACCACTTAGAGAAGAACAGAATACCATTTGCCCAGTGCAGTTACCCACCCAGCACTGCAGTCCAGGACAGCCCTGTAAGAGGAGTGTCACCAGCCCCAAGCAGTGCCAAAGTGCCTCCACGGCCTCATTCTGGTGAGTTGAGTTAGAATTGATGAAATGTTTCCTTATGCTTCCTGCAAACAAGGGTGTGGGGAGTCTATATGATGCTAAAATAGCTGCAGTGGTTTTTACATAAAGTTTCCTCACTGTGAGGAGCATAAATTTTGTTATATATTATAATTTTTTTCACTCTTCTAATCTCATCTCAGTAGCACGATGATGTCAAAAATGTTATTACCATTATTATTAATAGTACCTAAGACATATTTGGTGTGGTCCTATTCTCTAATCCCTACAAAACTAGCTAAAAGATGCCAGAAATGAATGTTGATCCAACACTGATAGGGAAACTATGTCAGATGAAAATCGAGTCCAGGAAACGCAGTAAGAATGAAATTGCATGTTTACACTGTCCTCATGAGACTGTCATCTCCTTAAGGTCAGGCCCTGTGTTTTTGCTTTCCGTGTTTTTGCCATCCTTCCTTTCTCCCCAGGTCCAACTCAGTGCCTGGTCCTTAGTAAACAATTGAATTAATTTGTACTGAATTGAAGGAAAAAGGCATTGATCAAAAGTAAAGTGTGGAAAAATCCAAAGAGCAAGGTAAAATAGAAGAAAGGAATTCTGCATGGTAGAAATTATATCCAGTTCTTCTCTTTCTCTTGCCCTATACAATTTACATACTGTTACTAAAACTGTCAGGATACAAGAAAATTATTACGGCATGATGTAGTAAAATATATCTCTAAAGATAGCGATAGGACTGGTCAATTATAGAGTACTCACTATGTGGACATATACCATTCTAAAGTCTTCATACTTAACTCATTTCATCCTTTCAAGAATTTCTCTTCCCTCCCTTCCGCTAGCAATGAAGAGTCAAAACCCACTTATTTTCCCTTATTTCTCATGTCTCTTTTTATACCATAGAACCTAGAAACTTAAAAACTACATTTGCAAGAAAGAGGCCTTTGATGGGAATCAGGTGTCACCACCTAATAAGATTTCTATAGCAGATATGGGAAAAGGTCATCTTTTTCTTTTATCTATAAATTAATGTAAAGGGAAATTAAGTAAAACTTTAAGTGGTTTTAGGGTAACTTAGGGGGATTTAGTTATATGACTGAGTATGAAATGGGTAGGGTTGAGAGGCTGATAAAAGAAGAAAGAAAATAAAGAATGTAATTGTAACTCAGCACAAATCATCTTTCTGTCTAAAGGTCAAATAACAACAAAAAAAAATTCTCTTTAATTAGATAAAGTGATATTTATATGGACAGTAAACAGAGAAAAATATGTCTTATACTAAAATATATACTTTTTAAATCAGTTTAACCAGATCAAGAAAGCATTTTCTGTGTGTTCTTATATTATCATCTTGGGCATAGAACTAGTTTTTAAATGCAAATACTTTATGTTATTATAATGCCATTTACCTGCAAATTTCCTAACATTTAGAAACAGATTCCTGAATTGACCTTAAAGTCAGAAATACTCTCATCAATTTCAGCAATTGACACATATATCATGTGATATAGATTCTTTTTCAGTTTAATCTAAATACATTTTTCCTCAATTTTATTTCAGAGCCCAGTAGAAAAATTCAAGAGTGCTTCAAAACTTCCAATGAGAATCCCTTAGTAATTAAAAAGGTAAGGAACAGCTATGTACCACTATCTATTTAGTTTGACTTCTGTCAGTTCCTCTCCTTTTCTTTACATATCTTTCTGAAAAGTCACCATGTTTCACAATATTTTTACAGCTTTAGTAATGTCTAATTAACATAATATAAGATACACATATTCAAAGTGCACAATTTAATGAGCTTTGACAAATACAAACCTGGGAAACTACCACTTCAGTCAAGAGAATGCACATCCTCATCACTCCCAAAAGTTTTCTCATGATTCTGGCTGTCCCACAGGCAAATGTTTGTCTGCTTTCTGTCACTAAAGATTACCATGGGCTTTTTTGGATTTTATAAAAATAAAGTCATATGGTGAGTTCTCTTTCTAAAATCTGGTTTCTTTAACTCAGCATGATTATTTTAAGATTCATCCATGTTTTTAAGTGCATCAGTAGTTCATTCCTTTTAATTGCTGAGTAGTATTCAACTGTATAGTTATCTTACAATGTGTTGATCTATTTACCTGTTGAGGGACATTTAGGTCACTCCCAATTTCTAGCAAAGCTAATATAAACATTTGTCTACAAGTCTTTGTTTGGATATATATTTTCTTTTCTCTTGGATAATTCCTATGAGTGAAATAACTGTGTTTTATAGTAGTTGTATGTTTAAATTTCTAAGAAATAGCCAAATTGTTTTCCAAAATGATTGTCCCATTTTACATTCCCACCAGCAGCATATGAGTTTTCTTTTCTCCACATCTTCCCCAAACTTAGAATGGTTAGTCTTTTTATTTTTAGTCAACCTAGTGGGTATGTAGTAGTATCTTATTGTGGTTTTAATTTGCATTTTCCTCATGAGGTTGACATCTTTTCCAATTCTTACTTGTCATGTATATATCTTTTCACAGGAAATATATTGTTAGATATTTTGCCCACTTCTTAAATTGGGTTGTTGGCTGGGTGCAGTGGCTCACGCCTGTAATCCCAGCACTTTGGGAGGCTCAGGTGGGCGGATCATGAGGTCAGGAGATCGAGACCATCCTGGCCAATATAGTGAAACCCTGTCTGTACTAAAATACAAAAAAAAAAAATTAGCCGGGCATGGTGGTGCATACATGTATTTCCAGCTATTGGGAGGTTGAGAAGGGGAATTGCTTGAACCCAGGAGGTGGAGATTGCAGTGAGCTGAGATTGTGCCACTGCGCTGCAGCCTGGTGACAGAGCAAGACTCCGTCTAAAAGAAAAAAAAAAATTGGGTTGTTGACTTTTTAATTATGACATTGTAAAAGTTCTTCATATATTCTAGATTAAATCTTTTGTTACATGCATGTTTTTGCAAATATTTCCTTCCAGTCTGAGGATTGCTCTTTTTTTGATGTGTCTTTCAAAAATTTATAATTTTTTCCATTAGAGCTTCACATCTGCTTGCTGTTTATCTCTGTATTGTGCTTTATTGCAATGGCTAGAATCTCTAGTACAATGTTGAATAGAAGTGACAAGAGCAGACATCCTTGCCTTGTACCTGATTGTAGGAGGAAAGCATTCAGACTTTCAACATTAAGTATTATGTTAATTTACTTTATTCATGGATGCCCTTTATATGACTGAGAAAGTTCCCTTCCGTTCCTAGTGTGCTGAGAGTTTTAACAGAAATGGGGAGAGATGTATTTTGCCAAATGCTGTTTCAGTATCTAGCTGAGATGATCAAATGATTTTGCTTTTTAGCCTGTTAATATAGTGAATTACACTGGCTACGTTTCAAATTTGAACCAACCTCGGACATCTGGTAAAAACCTCCCTTGGTCGTGATGTATTATCCTTGTTATATACTAAAATTTCATAACATATTGTTAGCATTCTTGTGTCTATGTTTATGAGGAATATTTGTTTATAGTTTTCTTATAAAGTCTTTTTCTGGTTTAAATATCAGCATAATGCTGGTTTTATAGAATAAGTTTGGAATTCCTCTTTAATATTCTGGAAGATTTTATGTAGAACGGATATTATTTCTTCCTTAAAAGTTTAGTAGAAATCTTCAGTAAGATATTAGGCTTGATATTTCCTTTGAGTCAAGGTTTTTAACTACCAATTCAATTTCTTTTTTTTTTATATATATAGATATAGGCTATTTGGGTTGTCTATTTCTTCTTTAGCCAGCATTGGTAGTTTGTATTTTGCAAAGAATATGTCCATTTCATCTAAGCTGTTGACTTATTGATGTAAAGTTTTTCATAAAATATTCCTTTTATTATTTTATAATGTTTAATGTTTGTTTCCTCATCCCTGATTTTGGCAATTTGTGTCTTCTTTTTTTCCTGATGTGTCTAGCTAGAGGTTTGTGAGTTTTATTGACCATTTTAAAGAATCAATATTTCATTTAATTGAGTATTTCTATCGTTTTGCTTTTGTTTCCATTTCACTGACTTTGGCTCCTATCTTTATAGAAGTTAAAATCTTAGGTCATTGATTTGAGACTTTTTTTTCCAATATAAGCATTTATTATTACATTTTTCCTATAAGCATTACTTTGCCTGCATCCCCCAAAATTTACTATGTTGAATTTTCATTTTCATTATGTTCAAAATACTTCCTGATATCCTTTTTGATTTCTTCTTTCACCTATTCGTTACTTAAAATCATGTTATTTACTTTCTAAATATTTGGGGGATTTTCCAGATATCTTTGTGTTATTAATTCCAATTTAATCCCACTGTAGTCAGAGAACACACTTTGTATACTTTGTAATGTTTTAAATGTATTGAGACCTGTTATATGGCCTAGAGTATTGTTGACCTTAAAAAATTTTTCATGTACCCATGAAACAAATGTTCACTCTGCTGTTGTTTGGTAGAATGCAATATAAATATCAATTAGGTCAAGTTAGATGATACTGTTGTTCAAGTCTTCTGTAGCAGCAGCTCCCAACCTTTTTTGGAAGACTATTTTTCTACAGACCTATGGTGGGATGGGGGGAATGGTTTCAGGATGAAATTGTTCCACCTCAGATCATCAGGCATTCCATTCTCATAAGGAGCACACAACCTACATCCCTTGCATGCGCAGTTCACAATAGGGTTTGCACTCCCATGAGAATCTAATGCCGCTGCTGATCTGACAGGAGGCAGAACTCAGGCGGTAATGTCGACTTGCCCTCCCACCGCTCACGTTCTGCTGTGCAGCAGGTTGTGGTCCAGGTATTTGGGGACCATCGTTCTGTAGCCTTACCCATTTGCTACTTTTTCTGCCAATTATTGAGGGAGAGGTGCTGAAATCTCTGATTATAATTGTGGATTTCTAAATTTCTCTTTTCATTTCTACCAGTTTTTAATCACATATTTTAAAGCTCTCTTATTAGGCATAAAACTGCTTAGGTTTGCTATATCTTCTTGATAAAATGATCTTTTTATCATTATAAAGTTACTCTCTTCGTTCCGGACACTATTCTTTGCTTTAAAATCTATTTTGTTATAAAACTGTTCAGATTTTCTATTTCTCCTTGATTCAATTTTTGGTAATATATTCTTTCCTAAAAACTGTTTATTCAATCTAAATGTTCAGATTTATTGACTAAGTTATGCATAATATCCTTATATTCTTTTAAAAATATCTGCTGGTTCTGTAAGAAGTACCCTTTTACATATTAGTTGTGTTGATTTGTGTCTTTGTTTTTCTCAATTAAAAGAAGTTTATGATTTTCAACAAAAGTTTATTCAATAAGTTTACTGATTTTATTAGTATATCGAAGAGTTGATTTTCATGATTTTTGATTATCTGTGTTGTATATTTTCTATTTTATTGATATCTGCTGTTATTAGTTTTCTCTTTCTATTACATACTTTATTTTATTGCTCGTTTTCCAAGTCATTTTATCTTTCTAATACATGTATTTTAAAGCTATAAATTCCCCTCTTAAAATTGCTTTAGCCACTCTCACAATTTTTGTATATACCATTTTCACTGAGTTCAAACTCAGTGAAAATGAGAATTAGACTGAATTCAGTCTAATTCTCATTATTATTTCTTCTTTGACTCATGACTCAATTGCTGGACTTTATTTGTGTGACATATCCAAGACTAGGTAATTTATAAGGAAAAGAGGTTTAATTGACTCACAGTTCTGCATGGCTAGGGAGGCATCAGGAAACTTAAATCATAGCAGAAAGCAAAACTGGCATGTCTTACATGGCAGCAGGCAAGAGAAGTGAGAGCCAAGGAAAGGGGGAGGCCACTTATAAAAGCCATCAGATTTCACAAGAACTCACTTTCATGAAAAAAGTATGGGGGAACCTGACTTCATGATTCAATTAATTCCACCAGGTCCCATCGGTGGCATGTGGGGGTTATCACAATTCAAGGTGAGATTTGGGAGGGAACATGGAGCCAACCATACCAGTTGATGAGAAAAAAATAAAATGGATTTGTTATACATCATCTCATGTAAAGTCGGTTTCTAAGAACTATTAACAACATTAAGGACTTAATGTGTTACTATATTTCCAAAAATAAGTCTGTATAATAAACTTAACAGAAATTATAACAAACTCTCTCTCAGACCACAGTGCAATCAAACTAGAACTCAGGATTAAGAAACTCATTCAAAACCACTCAACTACATGGAAACTGAACAACTTGCTCCTGAATAACTACTGGGTACATAATGAAATGAAGGCAGACATGAAGATATTCTTTGAAACCAATGAGAATAAAGACACAACATACCAGAATCTCTGGGACACATTTAAAGCAGTGTGTAGAGGGAAACTTATAGCACTAAATGCCCACAAGAGAAAGCAGGAAATTAACACTCTAACATCACAATTAAAAGAACTAGAGAAGCAAGAGCAAACACATTCAAAAGCTAGCAGAAGGCAAGAAACAACTAAGAACAGAGCAGAACTGAAGGAGATAGAGACACAAAAAACCCTCCAAAAAATCAAAGAATCTGGGAGCTGGTTTTTGCAAAGATCAACAAAATTGGTAGACAGCTGGCAAGACTAATAAAGAAGAAAAGAAAGAAAAATCAAATAGACTCAATAAAAAATGATAAAGGGGATATCACCACTGATCCCACAGAAATACAAACTACCATCAGAGAATACTATAAACACCTATATGCAAATAAACTAGAAAATCTAGAAGAAACGGATAAATTCCTGGACACATACACCCTCCCAAGACTAAACCAGGAAGAAGTTGAATCCCTGAATAGACCAATAACAGGCTCTAAAATTGAGGCAATAATTAATAGCCTACCAACCAAAAATAGTCCAGGACCAGACGGATTCACAGCCAAATTCTATCAGAGGTACAAGGAGGAGCTGGTACCATTCCTTCTGAAACTATTCCAATCAATAGAAAAAGAGAAAATCCTCTCTAACTCATTTTATGAGGCCAACGTCATCCTGATACCAAAGCCTGGCATAGACACAACAAAAAAAGAGAATTTTAGACCAATATCCCTCATGAACATTGATGCAAAAATCCTCAATAAAATACTGGCAAACCGAATCCAGCAGCATATCAAAAAGCTTATCCACCATGATTAAGTGGGCTTCATCCCTGGGATGCAAGGCTGGTTCCACATATGCAAATCAATAAACGTAATCCAGCATATAAACAGAACCAGAGACAAAAGCCACATGATTATGTCAATAGATGCAGAAAAGATCTTTGATAAAATTCAACAGCCCTTCATGCTAAAAACGCTCAACAAATTAGATGTCGATGGAAAGTATCTCAAAATAATAAGAGCTATTTATGACAAAAACACAGCCAATATCATACTGAATAGGCAAAAACTGGAGGCATTCCCTTTGAAAACTGGCACAAGATAGGGATGCCCTCTCTCACCACTCCTATTCAACATAGTGTTGGAAATTCAGGCCAGTGCAATCAGGCAGGAGAAAGAAATAAAGGGTATTCGGTTAGGAAAAGAAGAAATCAAATTGTCCCTGTTTGCAGATGACATGACTGTGTATTTAGAAAACCCCATTGTCTCAGCCCAAAATCTTCTTAACCTGAAAAGCAATTTCAGCAAAGTCTTAGGATACAAAATCAATGTGCAAAAATCACAAGCATTTGTATACACCAACAACAGACAAACAGAGAGCCAAATCATGAGTGAACTCCCATTTACAATTGCTTCACAGAGAATAAAACACCTAGGAATCCAACTTACAAGGGTTGTGAAGGACCTCTTCAAGGAGAACTACAAACCATTGTTCAACGAAATAAAAGAGGACACAAACAAATGGAAGAACATTCCATGCTCATGGATAGGAAGAATCAATATCATGAAAATGGCCATACTGCCCAAGGTAATTTATAGATTAAATGCCATCCCCATCAAGCTACCAATGACTTTCTTCACAGAATTGGAAAAAACTACTTTAAAGTTCAAATGGAACCAAAAAAGAGCCCGCATTGCCAAGACAATCTTAAGTCAAAAGAACAACGCTGGAGGCATCATGCTACCTGACTTCAAACTATACTAAAAGGCCACAGTAACCAAAACAGCATGGTACTGGTACCAAAACAGAGATACAGACCAATAGAACAGAATAGAGGCCTCAGAAATAATACCACACATCTACAGCCATCTGATCTGTGACAAAATGACAAAAACAAGAAATGGGGAAAGGACTCCCTACTTAATAAATGATGCTGGGAAAACTGGCTAGCCATATGTAGAAAGCTGAAACTGGATACCTTCCTTACACCTTATACAAAAATTAATTCAAGATGGATTAAAGACTTAAACCATAAAAATCCTAGAAGAAAACTAATACCATTCAGCACATAGGCATGGGCAAGGATTTCATGTCTAAAACACTAAAAGCAATAGCAAAAAAGCCAAAATTGACAAATGGGATCTAATGAAACTAAAGAGTTTCTGCACAGCAAAAGAAACCACCATCAGAGTGGATAGGTGACCTACAGAATGGGAGAAAATTTTTGCAATCTATCCATCTGACAAAAGGCTAATATCCAGAACCTACAAAGAACTCAAACAAATTTACAAAAAAAAAAAAAGCATCAAAAAGTGGGCAAAGGATATGAACAGACATTTCTCAAAAGAAGACATTTATGCAGCCAACAGACACAGGAAAATATCCTCATCATCACTGGCCATTAGAGAAATGCAAATCAAAACCACAACGAGATACCATCTCACACCAGTTAGAACGGCAATCATTAAAAAGTCAGACAACAACAGGTCCTGGGGAGGATGTGGATAAATAAGAACACTTTTGCACTGTTGGTGTAACTGTGGGACTGTAAACCGGTTCAACCATTGTGGAAGACAGTGTGGTGATTCCTCCAGGATCTAGAACTAGAAATACCATTTGACCCAGCCATCCCATTACTGGGTATATACCCAAAGGATTATAAATCATGCTGCTATAAAGACACATGCACAGATATGTTTATTGTGGCACTATTCACAATAGCAAAGACTTGGAACCAACCCAAATGTCCATCACTGACAGACTGAATTAAGAAAATGTGGCACATATACACCATGGAATACTATGCAGCCATAAAAAAGGATGAGTTCATGTCCTTTGTAGGGACATGGATGAAGCTGGAAACCATCATTCTCAGCAAACTATCGCAGTGACAAAAAACCAACCACCACATGTTCTCACTCATAGGTGGGAATTGAACAATGAGAACACTTGGACACAGGAAGGGGAACATCACACACCGGGGCCTGTCATGGGGTTGGGGGAGTGGGGAGGGATAGCATTAGGAGATATATCTAATGTAAATGACGAGTTAATGGGTGCAGCACACCAACATGGCACATGTATACATATGTAACAAACCTGCACGTTGTGCACACGTACCCTAGAACTTAAAGTATAATTTTAAAAAACCTCAAATACAATATAGCTTTATTTTTACTAAACATAAAGTTTAATATTGTTCTATCAATTCCAATCATCAAAATCCCAGGTTGTTGACTCCTTTATGTACTAGGTTCTATGTGTTGTTACAAATCAGTCACTTCGAAGGATAGAAAGCCTTTCCTGGAACAGGCACATGGATCTAAGGCTTCTGTAACTCTTCATGGACTTAAAGCTCCCACAACCTTTTAATTTTTAAAAATTGCGAACAGTATATTTGCCTCCCAGAACAAGAAAATAACCTTTGTATTTCCCTTCCAACTGATCAAGGGAAGAAATTTAGTTTGCCTTTCTAACTCTCCAGCTGTTAGCTGTTACTTAGAGCAAGGAGGTAGCAACTTGCGTCATGTAGTTGCTTCACAGACAAAGCATAAAACCTCTCAGCTGTCTTTTCCTGGCCACAAAAGAGAAATCTTCCCAACTTAACAGCAAATCTCATATGTCATGAGTTGGCTGTTATTTGGAATTGCGATGTAAAAGGTTATACATTGCATACTACAAATTTGTTATCTTGTTATTTGACCAAGAGTTTAAAGTGATTTCATCAAAAGTTAATAAGATATCACTATTTGTTTTGTCTCCAAATATAAATATTTGATAGTTTAAGATAACACTAACCTTTTTTACTTTCATGTGTCTCTCATTAACCACAATATTTCTTATTCATTTTACAATGAGTTTTCATATAAAATATAGATAGGTGCAAATGTATATTGGTTATATTATACCTTTGATTTAGGAAGAAATTAAGGCCAAAAGTCCACCATCACCTCCAAAGGCATGCTCTACTCCTGGCTCCTGTTCTTCAGGGATGACGAGTATCAAGAATGATGTGAAAGCAAACACCATTTGCATACCAAACTATCTGGATCAGGAAATAAAAGTAAGTATCAGGTTTATCAAATCCATAACTTGGAAACAGCATGAATATACAAAAAAATTTATACCACTAGCATCCTTAAAACTCTTAAATGATTCCTTACTGATAACTGAATTGATTTAAGACTGCTTAGCCTAAAATCCAAGGCATACTCCTATTTTCATTTCCAGTCTTACTTTTCCTTGGAATCTTGACACTCTTAGATTAACACAATCTTTGGTTCAGACATAATGAAAAGCCTGGTGTTTATCAAACAAACCCAGTCCTATTCTTTCCATCTTTCATTATCATCTTAATACTTGAGAGGCACTATTCTTAATGTCTTGCTGCAATCTATACATTTACTTCTCATATTTTAAAGCATAAATTCCTCTAATCAACATTCATCTCGTCCTCTTTTCTTTGCAAAACTATGTCTTCAAACTTTCTCTGCCTGGGGTTATAAACTTAGTTATATTAATAGTAATATGTCATATCAGCTTCCTGAAAGTCCCTCCCCAGCCACAGTTATTTCTGAGAATGATATAAAATCAAGAATACATCAGTCAGCTGATATTTGTCATCTGCCATTTTTCCTTCTTTTAATCTCTTTGATAACCTCTATATTGAACCACCGTTAAGTCCCACTACAATGAACTAAGGGTTAAAAGATTGTAATGATGACTCTAATTGGAAGTTTAAGTAATCAGTATCTGTAGCTGTAATTACAAATAACAGAGCACATTGTTGAGATGGTTATTGAATAAGCCTAACAAGGAAGTATTTTAAAAGTAGAGCCCAGAGTATGATAGTGACATTGATGTAATAATTCATGCTGATGATTAAACTTGAGAAGGAGAATAGAAGGAAATGTATAGAAGGGAGAGTATCTACATATTTGACTTATGTTTATACATTATTTCCTGATGATTCTGGCTAAAGACTTTATATTATACACAGTCTTCAGAATCACTGTTTCACCTGCTACACCCTGGCACTTTGATCTTTCTATAATTTTCTCATTCTCACCTTAAGAGCTTTGCTCTAAGAATTATCTTTCCCTTTATTGGCTCAGTGATCAGCTTCTCATTAAGTTGAAGTATCACTTACTCAGAAATACTTTCTCTAACAACCTAATCTACAGTAGCTAACCAGTCACTCTATATCCCATCACCCTTTGTTATTTTTTGCATAAATATGCTATATATGTATGATCAGACTTATTTATTTGGTTCGATATTTTCTCTCTCTCCTCGCCCCACTCCCACTAAAATTTAAAACATATAAGATCTCACACTTGTCTGCCTTTGCTACTGCTTAATCTTCAGTGCCTAGGTGAGTGCTAGATACCTAGGAATTGTTAGATGAGTATTTGTTGGATATTGAATAAATAAATTAAAAGGAAAAGTCAACTCAAGATAAAAAGGATAACTGTAGAAAATCAGCTAAATACATAGTTCTCAACTCAAATAATCCATAATCTGAATGCAGTTTTAGTAAGACTGTCATTCTTCCTTGGGCATATCAATAGACCAGCATGATCCTATAGAGCTGGGTTTCTGGGCATCTAAGAAAGAGCCCTCCTCTCAAACGCATCTTCTATTTTACAAAAATCAACTTAGCTGGACATCAGTTGATATAAAACTCACTAAAGTATAAACTCTTTGAAGGCAGGGATCTTGTCTGCCTTATTCACAACTGATTTCTTAGCACTCATCACTTCACTTGAAAAATATTAACTGGCACACAGACAATGGCATTTTGCCAAATAGTTGTTGACTATTTGCTAAATAAATGAACAGAGAGGGAGTAAAGTGATAAAATAGGTTTTATCAAGATTTTTTGGCTTATATAAAAGAGCCCCAGAAATATTGCTCATCTCGGAGGTATTCTATTCTTCCATGTTTCCTACAAAAAAAAATCAGGAATATTTTCTAATTTCCTACTATCCATTGAGTAACTCTAAATGGGCTGTGAAATCAGGAAATGCTTTTGCAGGGGTATGTGTGAAAGGGTATGCAGTTGCATGATTATTACTTTAAAAGGAAAGAGAAACATAATTCCATGTCTATTAGCACTTTGTTTTAAGCCTTCCTTCCAAAGATCTGGAATTTATAGACATAACACCAAAATGTCTGCCAAACTCTTATAAACAGTTGGTGGGACTATAAATTAGTTCAGCCTCTGAAAGCAGTTTGGAGAGTTCTCAAGGAACTACAAACAGAATTGCCATGTAAACCAACAATCCCATTACTGGGTATATACCCAAAGGAAAATAAATAGTTCTAAAAGATAAAAAGATACCTGCACTGGCATGTTAATCACAGCAATATTCACAATAGCAAAGACATGGAATCAACCTCAGTGCCCATCAGTGATGAATTGGATGAAGAAAATGTGGTACATATACACCATAGAATACTACACAGCCATAAAATATACAATAATACATTTTGCAGCAACCTGGATGCAGCTACAGGTCATTATTCTAAGTCAATGAATACAGAAACAGAAAACCAAATACTGCATAGTCTCACCAGTAAATGGGAGCTAATCACTGGGTAAATGTAGACATAAAGATGGGAACAATAGACACTGGAAACTCCAAAAGGTAGGAGGAAGGAAGGAAACCAAAGAAGGAAAAACTATCAGGAACTCTGTTCACTATTTGCGTGGTGGATTAACTGAAGCCCAAAGCTCAGCATTATTCAATATATCCATGTAACAAACATGCACATGTACCCACTGAGTCTCAAATTTAAAAAGAAAAGTTGACCAAACACATCCATTTATTCTGTAAATATTTAATGTCAAACTACAAAATACTAGAGTATGAGGATATAATCAATTTCTTCATTCATAGAGCTTATGAAGTAATAGTGCAACTGTTATAAGAACACGTACCAGGAGACTTTGTCGCTCAGAGAGCCTTCAAGGAGAAAGGGACCTAAAGAATGTTTAGGATGTAATCAGAAGATAAAGAGAAGCATGGAAGAGATCTTTCCCAGTCAAGTGACCTTCATATCTTAAGACTAAGGTGTGAGAGCATTGCTTAATTAAAACAACGAACAACAATTAATATGGTTGATGCAGACAGTGCATAGAGAAAGTGGCAAGAGATGGGGCTGGAGACTTAAGAACAGACTGGATAATGTAGTACTCTATAAGCCCTATCAAGGTGTCCAGATTTCATCCCAAGGGGTGTGGGAAGCCAGTAAAGAATTTTAAGCACTAAATGATATTGAATTACTTTGTAAGTATAAGAATTACATAGTTAGAACTGTACTTTAGAAAAATCACTCTGGATACAATATGCAGATTAATTTGGGAACATAAGGGGTGACAAAGTTGCAAGCAAGGGACTCTGATTCGAAAATGATAGATTAGATTCAACGCTTAACCTCCTGCTTTAAAAAACTATATAATTCAGCGAAATATATACAGAAACGATTTGCAGGTACCGGGCAACAGACACTACAGATTGGATCATTGAGAGAAGAGAAACAATTGGGGTTATTTCCATATTCAACCCAGACTTCTACCTGGGGCACATGCCTAATCATGGCACAGAGAAGTGGAGTCTGAACAGACAGCAGCAAGTTCACTAGGTACAGAAAACAGAGTTTAGTATTTGGGGATGCTGAGGTGGCTGGAATTTGCAAAGTAAGATCTAAAGAAGATAAATCTGTGCAGAGAATGAGCTCCAGAAATTTAGGGGTACCATTAAGTGTTCAGTCCAATATGAAGCCTCACACGTACAGGATGATTCTGAGACCCGGCAAGGAGAGCTAATGGGAGGTATTACAGAGCTTAGAGTTGCTGGAGTTCTAAAAAACCCTGAAAAGACCTCGCTGGAGTGAAGATACCTTGCAGAACATACCAGGACTTCAATTCAGACCCCGGAAAAGTTACACCTTAAAAATAGCCCTGCAATAGAGGCTACTCTAGGCTAGATTCTCAAATCCTAAAATAAAATTTCAGGACATCAAGTTCACCTGCCAATATATTAATAATGTTCAAGAACAAAACACTATTTTTTCCCTCAACTTTTATTTTAAGTTCTGGGGTACATGTGCAGAATGTGCAGGTTTGTTACATAGGTAAACCTATGCCCTGGTGGTTTGCTGCACAGATCATCCCATCACCTAGGTATTATGCCCAGCATCCATTGGCTAGTCTTCCTGATGCTCTCCTTCTCCCCTAACACTCCCTGACAGGTGCCAGTGTGTGTTGTCCCCCATCATATATCCATATGTTCTCACTGTTCAGCTCCCACTTATAAGTGAGAACATGTGGTGTTTGGTTTTCTGTTCCTTCATTAGTTGCTGAGGATAACAGCTTCCACCTCCATCTATGCCCTTGCAAAGGACACGATCTTGTTCCTTTTTATGGCTGCATAGTATTCCATGGCATACATGTATCACATTTTCTTTATCCAGTCTATCATTGATGGGCATTTAGGTTGATTCCATGTCTTTGCTATTGTGAGTAGTGCTGCAGTGAACATATGCATGCATATATAACAAAATAATTTATATTCCTTTGGGTATATACCCAGTAATGGGATTGCTGGATTAAATGGTATTTCTGCCTCAAGATCATTGAGGAATCACCACACTGCCTTCCACAATGGTGGGAGTAATTTTTACTCCCACCAACAGTGTAAAATTGTTCCTTTTTCTCTACAACCTCGCCAGCATCTGCTGTTTTTTGACTTTTTAATAATCGCCATTCTGACTGGTGTGAGATGGTATCTCATTGTGGTTTTGATTTGCATTTCTCTAATGCATTTAGCCCATTTACATTTAAGGTTAGTATTGCTATGTGTGAATTTGATCTTGTCACCATGATGCTAGCTGGTTATTTTGCAGACTTGTTTATGTGGTTGGTTCATAGTGTCACTGGTCTGTGTACTTAACTGTGTTTTTGTAGTGGCTGATAAAAGTTTTCCTTTCCATATTTAGTGCTTCCTTCAGGAGCAAGGCAGGCCTGGTGGTGACAAATTCCCTCAGCATTTGCTTGTCTAAAAAGCATCTTATTTCTCCTTTGCTTATGGAGCTCAGTTTGGCCAGATGTGAAATTCTGGGTTGGAAACTCTTTTCTTTAAGAATGTTGAATATTGGCTCCCAATTTCTTCTAGCTTGTGGGGTTTCCACTGAGAGATCTGGTATTAGGCTGATGGACTTCCCTTTGTAGGTGACCTGACCTTTCTCTCTGGCTGCGCTTAATGTTTTTTCTTTCATTTTGACCTTGGAGAATCTGATGATGATGTGCCTGAGGGTGGATCTTCTCATGGAGTATCTTACTAGGGTTCTCCAGATTTCCTGAATTTGAATGTTGGCCTGTCTTGCTAGTTTGGGGAAGTTCTCCTAGATGACATCCTGAAGTATGTTTTCCAACCTGGTTCCATTCTCCTCATCTCTTTCAGGTATTTCAATCAGTCTTAAGTTCAGTCTTCTTACATAATCCCACATTTATCAGAGGTTTTGTTCATTCTTTTTTATTCTTTTTTCTCTATTTTTGTCTGCTTGTCTTATTTCAGAAAGATGCTCTTCAAGCTCTGAGATTCTTTCCTCTACTTGGTCTTTTCTGCTATTAATACTTATAATTACATTACATTGTGAAGTTCTTGTGTTTGTTTTTCAGCTCCATCAGGTCAGTTATGTTCCTCTCTAAACTGGCTATTCTTGTTATCGGCTTATGTATTGTTTTATCATGATTTTTAGCTTCTTTACACTAAGTTACAACATGCTCCTTTAGCTTAGCAAAGTTTGTTATTACCCACCTTCTGAAGCCTACTTCTCTCATTTAGCCATCTCAGCCTCAGCCCAGTTCTGTGTCCTTGCTTGAGATGTGTTGCAGTCATTTGGAGGAGAAGAAGAACCCTGGCTTCTTGAGTTTTCAGCATTTTTGCGTTGATTCATTTTCATCTTTGTGGGCTTATCTACCTTCAATCTTTGAGGTTACTGACCTTTAAATGGGATTTTTGTGGCATCCTTTTTTTCTGTTGCTGTTGTTTTCTGTTTGTTTTTCTTCTAACAGTCAGGCCACTCTTCTGTAGGGCTGCTGCAGTTTGTTGGGGGTCTGCTCCAGACCCTGGTTGCCTTGAGTTTTCCCATACCTGGAGGTATCACCAGTGAAGGCTGCAAGACAGCAAAGATGTCTGCCTGCTCCTTCCTCTGGGATCTCCATCCTAGGGGGCTACTGACCTGTTGCTGGCTCAAATGCTCCTATAGGAGGTGTGTGGAGGCTTCTATTGGGAGGCATTACCGGGTCAGGAGGAATGGGATCAGGGACCCACTTAAAGAAGCAGTCTGGTTGCTTTTGGGAAGAGCAAGTATGCTGGATTGGGGGGATCTCTTCCTCGTCCAGACCACTTGGACTTTCCAGAGCTGGCAGGCTGGAATGGCTGAGTCAACTGAAATGCTGAGACAACAGCTGCCCTTCCCCCTGGGGGGCTCTGTCCCGGGGGAGATCAGAGTTCTGTGCGTATGACCCTGGCTGGAGTTGCTGAAATTCCCACAGGGAGGCCCCACCCAGTGAGAAGGAATGGATTGGGATCCCACTTAAAGAAGCAGTCTGGGCATGATCTGGCACAGCAGCTGTGCCTTGTTAGTGGGGACTCCTCCCTGTCCGGATGGCCTGCACTCCCTGGAGCCAGCAGGCTAGAACAGCTGAGTTGACCAAAACACAGAGATGCTGTCTGCCCCTTCCCCTGGGAACTTGGTCCCATCACAGGCAGTCTCCAGCCTGTTGCCATTGGCTGGCTGGAATTCCAAGCCAGTGGGTCCTAACTTGTGAGAGCCCTGTAAGTGGGGCAAACAGAATGATGCTGCTTAGCTCTCTGGATTCAGTCCCCTTCCTAGGGATATGCACAGATAGATTTCCTGTCTTGCCAGGATTTCTGAGCTGGAGTATGTTTCTGTGTGTACCTGAGTGGCTATTCTGCTGAGACTCCACACAGCTCTGTGTTTCAGGCCCAGAGCCCTGTGGCATGGGCTCATGAGGGCACTTCCTGATCCACAGGTTGCAAAATGTAGACTCTCCACAATGTAGCATATACAAAGTCCCTCAAATAATAGTTATTAGACACCCAAAGAGCAGCAAACTACAACCCATAAGCAGAAGGAAAAAAGAATTGATAATAACAGACACAGAAATGGCACAGATGTGGAAATTGGTAGAAAAGGCTGTAAAAGAGATTATTTTTAAAGATTTTCAAGGATTTCTAGGAAAGAAAAGACATAATGAGTGAATAGATGAGGCATCTCTCAAGAGAAATGGAAGTTAAAAAGAGACCAAAAGGAAACCTTAGAATTGAGAAATACAGCTATGTACTGCATAACAATGTTTCCACCAATAACAGATCATAAATATGACAGTGGTACCATAAGTATATAATATGGTATCTTTACTGTACCTTTTCTATGTTTAGGTAAGTATATGTTTTCTATGTAAGTATATTTACACAAATACTTACCAATGTGTTACAATTGCCTACAGTATTTAGTACAGTAACATGCTGTACAGGTTTGTAGCCCAGGAACAATAGGCTATACCATATAGCCTAAGCGTGTAGTAGGTTGTATCATCTAGGTTTATGTAAGCACACTCTATGATGTCCACACAATGACTGGATCATTAATGATGCATTTCTCAAAACGTGTTCTTGTCATTAAGTAATGCATGACTGTACAATATTTGAAACCAAAATTTCACTGGATGTGATTAGCAGCACACGTGGCACTGCAGAAAAAAATATATAAGTGGAGTTAAAGAGAGGGCAATAAAAAAAATCCAAATTAAAGTAAAAAGACTTCAAAAAATGTAAACAAAACCTTACTGACCTGTGAGAATATATTGGGTGGTCTAACACATGTGCAATTGGAGTCTCAGAGGAAGAAGAAAGAGAGATTAGAGCATAAAAATTATTTGAAGAGCTAATAGCTAATATTTTTCTAAATTTAATGAAACTTTACAAAACCCAAGAAAGATAAACACAGAAGTTACATCTGGGCACATCATAATAAAGCTGCAGAAAACTGAAGAGAATATCTTGAAATCAGCAAGAGAAAAAAGACATATTACATATACAGTCATGCATCACTTAATGACAGGAATACATTCTGAGAAATGTGTCAGTTCCTGAGCTATAAACCTATATAACATTTTACTATACTGAATACTGTAGAAATTGTAGCACAATGGTAAGTATTTGTGTATCTAAACAGGAAAAGATACAGTAAAAATACAGTATGATAATCTTATTGGACCACCATTGTATATGTGGTCCACTGTTGACTAAAACATTGTTATATGGTGCATGACTGTAATGATGAAAATGACAGCTGACTTCTCACTAGGGACTTCTCACTAGAAATATGCAAGCCATAAGACAATGAAATGACACTTTAAAGCTCTTAAAATTTAAAGATAAGCTGACATTTTATAGTTCTGTCATTTGGAAGTAAAGGAAGAGGTGAGAGGGAGATAAGTGTGGTTATAAAGAAAACAGAGTAGTAAAATGTAAAACAACAATAACACAACGTTCAGGTGAGAGATAAATGGAAGTATAACTCACAAGGTTCTTACATTATACATTAAGTGGTATAATATTAATTCAAGGAACACTATATTAGTTTAAGGATGCATATTTTAATCCCTTGAACAACAAAAAAAGTATAGCTAAAAAGCCAATGGAGAGGATAAAGTGGAATATTAAAATATGCTTGATTAATCCAAAAGGAGACAGAGAAAAGAATAAGGGGAACAGTAACAGAAGGAAAAAATAAAAAACAAATAGCAAGACGGTACACTCAAAACTATGCAAAAGGACAAGTAGACTAAAAACTCCAAGAAAAAGACAAGGATTGATAGGTTTGATAATAATTTTTAACAAGGGCCATTGTTTCACCTTCTTTAAATGTTTGGAGTTGATACTGAATATATTTGGAATTATTTATTTTAATACTGATGTGCAGAGTAAATGGTAACTCCTTCATTTCAAATGTTAAATAATCAGCAAAAAAATAATTTAACATGTCTTTTAAGGGATAAATATGCATAAACAATGTCAGATAGTTCACACCTAGGTTTTCACCTAAAAAAATTAAAAAGTTTGGACAAACATAAGGATAGAAGTCTCCTATTCCAGAACCTGGCAAAATCAGTTTTCTTTGACCAGAGAAGACAGTTTCTTAGAAATCCAGTTCATTGCCACTCAAATCTCTAATCCCAGGACTGGTTTGGGTAGTTTCTTCTGGTAATGTGCATTAATACCACCAATTTTTTCCCCTGTGACCACTCTTTACAGAGATTCGAAGTCACTAAATCGTGCCAGACCTGACCTTTTATGACTTGGGAGGGCAAATATATTGTTAAAGAAGTGCTGAACCATGTTTTTTGCACACTCCCTTTCAAGCCACAACACACAAAAACTGAGGATGGATCTTTGACTTTGATTTCTAATTGAATAGGTTTAATGACCAGGGAGCTTCCCTCTATTGGGAGTAATTGAAAAAGTTCCATTTCAAGTTTAAGGAATTTCCACATGTGTTAAAATTTGCACTCATCCTTACAGCACGTAGACTTGTGAGTACAGAATAATGCCAATAAAGATGGGAAGATATGAATCATATACATTATGCCACTTCATGAAACATGTTCAGGACAGGCACTCAGAACTCAAGGTCACGAACCATTTTGGAAAATATGATTGTTGGAATGAGAATTGGAAAGTCCTGCAAAGACAGGATGTCAGGACAACTTTTATGGTAGGTACCAAGGCTGGAATCCCCAGAATCTTTGCTGGACAATGGTGGATATCTCTGATGCTGAGCACCTATCCTCTGGAGTTGGAAGAGAAGTTTTCAATTCCAGAAGCCTTTCTGGTAGTCCGCTCTGAGTTTTTGCCTACCAAGATGATACAGAGAACCCTACATATAGGTTTTCAGTTACCACTATGGCAAAAGAAACATGGGGTTGCCTTGAGGAATTAAGGTTTCTTTGCCCTAGAAATCATGAGATCATTGACGAAAAGTTTTTTGAGGGATTCCAAAGAGTGAGTTCAATAAACTTCCACAGGTGGAATAACAGAGAGAATCTACTCATTGGATACTTTTCCGTTTCTCCAGATCTGATCAAGACTTGATTTGTGACCCTTTGGAAAAGCTATAATATCTCTGACACTCAAGAAGCCTGATTTACAGGTGTAGTCATCATCCCTGCCCCAAGCTGCAGAAACAAATGTTTTTCTGAAGAGATTGGAAGCTACTGTGTTCATTGTGCATCTGCGTAGGTTTCTGTAACAGAGAATGCAGGAGGTTTCCCAGGAAGACATATTCTACATCCTCTCGCTGAAAGGATAATTATATTATCTAGGATGTTGTTGATCAATCAGTGATCTATGACAGAAGCAGCTAAGAGTGATGTGCAATCACTATATTGATGAAAAATCCATAGAGGCAGAGTGGTTTAGAAAATACCATGAGGCTTTTTTTCCATTTTTGCCACAGTTGTTGATTTGTTGTGAAATTAGGAGCAAATCTAACTTTCTCTCTTTAGAATATGTCATTATCAAAGACAGAAATCTTAACATAATAACAAAGTTCAATACAGGACAGTTGATTTTCCAGCCATTTAATTTTGCTTCTCTATCTTCAGCATCTAGATCAGTGACTAATACAAATATTTGTTAAATTAATAATAATTTAAGACTTCAAGCAGAAATACTAAAAGAATGAATGTTGCAGTAGCTCAAACCAGATTTGATGTTGCTTTAGGCTGGGTCAAGACAATGAGGATGAAGACAAAAGGAGTAATTTAAGAAGTATTTAGAAGGTAGACTTTACTGAATTTGTCTGACATTATGTTTTAGAAAAGGGCAAGGGAGTTGTCCAGGATGAATCTCAGCATCTGGTTTGGACAGTTTAATGTATGTTGGTGCTGTTCATTGAGACAGGGGAACCAGGAGGAAAAGTAAGTTTGGAGCAGGTTTTAGGAAAAGAAATGTGGATTTTGTTTTATATATTTTGTGTCCAAAATATCTATAGTATAGCTAAGTGAATACATCTAGTAGGCAGATGGATATACAGGACTGAAGTTCAGTAAATAGATATGAATATCAGATATGTCTAAATTCTAACAGCAGACACAATTAAGATTCAGTCAGGAAACTTCATTACCTGTGCTTAACACATTGTATTTTATTTTAATGCTTATGATAGTCCATTTTCATGAGAAGTAATTATTCCATATTTCTATCTCTACTGTCACCTACATTTAAGCCTGTAGCTCCAGAGTTTTAAAAAAAACTCAAGTAAGCATTCTGAATAAATAAAGGGAATTATATTCCTATCCCACTGGGCCAATTGCTGTGTTCAAGAAACTGAGGTACAATGATGACTCGAGCCCAGATCACATCCCTCTATCTCAGACTATGGAGAGGAGCAGGGCAGATGGGGCCAGTTCTGTGACTGATGGATTCTCATTAGAACCCTATGGTACAGTGGGAAGGATAAATTCACTAAAAGTATATTCCTACTAGAAGACGTAGGTATTGAATAGACAAAGCAAGACAAATGTTGGGATTCACTCAGGATGGTGGTGGAAATATTAAAGGGAAATATTAGGGAAAGTTATAGGGAATAGTCACAAACCTTTTGGAAGGCCAGAAGGTTACATAGCTTGTAATAATTGAACAGGCTGAAGGCAGCTGGTTCTTACCTTGGAACATTAGGTCATCGGGTAAATACTAGGGACAATAGAAGCTTCCCCAGTTGTCTGTTTACCCTACCTCCATTAACTAACCTTTGACCTAGATGGCCTTCTTGGGGGAGGCCAACTAGGGATATTGCCCCCTAATGGTATTTACCTTAGACCTCGGTACCTGAGCTTTAATCATTCCTAGAACTCTCTTAACCACGTAAATTATCCACAAGTGTGTTTACTCAAAGCTTCTGTTGTTTATCAAATAAATGCCTGGAGTGTGAGCTGCTCAGGGCCAGCCGCAGTGACAAACCTCTCTTGGTGTGCAGGCAGTCGGACACTCGGCTCTACTGGCAAAACAGAATATCTTTGTGTCAACGTACGTTTTATTCATCCGTCGTTTAGGTCAGGGTCTGCGGGCAGACCCCCACAGCTAATGCCCTCTTATGAGGAGCAATACCTCAGACAAACACACTCCATAGCCTAACCTAAAGTGTTAATTGTACTGGAAATGTTGTTTTCACTAAGATTCTACTGTGTGCTATTTGAAATTGAGCTCCTGAGTTAAAAATCTCAATTGACTTAATTGCACATCGTATACAGAGTGATATTTGGGAAGATGGGATTTGGAGAAGGTAAAGGAAAACTGATAAACCTTGTACTATTTATTTGCTCATATGTCACTCTAATGTTCTCTGTTAGATCCTGGCAAAGCTCTGTGACATTTTGCATACTGATTCTCTGGCAGAAGTTTTACAGTGGCTACTTCATGCAAGTTCAAAAGGTGCGATTAAAATATACATTTTAAAACAGTGAGCTCAATTTATTGTCAGAAACTGGAAATATGCCAATATCTGAAGTTTTGTACGTTGAGTTTGCAAAGATAATGTTGCAGTACTATTTCTGCAATGTTTCAGTATAAGGTAATTGCTGTTCTGCATATCCAGCTGCATGCATGTGGGTCATTCAATGAACCCAAAATTCAGTATGCCTTAAATTGAACTCATTTGGGTGACATGAAACACTTGTGTCCAAGGGAGGTATTATTCTCAGCTAGAGTTGGTTTGTGCTCCTCTAGAGTCCACACACCCAGGGGCCTTCCTGAGCACATCCTCTGACCTGTTGTTAACTCCGAACACAAAGCTTATTTCTTTCCTTTGGTAAGCAGAACAGTAGAACAGCTACCCAACCTGCAACAGCTCTTACAGTTGCCCAACAAAACCATCAACTCAGTCATCTCCTAACCTCTTTTGGGCCCTTCCTGTCCTGTTTCATGAAAACACATGCCATTCCCAATCGAGACACTGATAAGTGGCAGAGAGCAGCTATCTTCAAATGTAGCTGGTCATCCTACTGACTGAGGCAAAATCTCTGCGGTGGGACTTGAGAATTTGCATTTCTGACAAGTTCCCAGGTGTTGCTGATAATGCTGTTCTCAGGACTACTCTTTGAGAATTACTGCACTGATCAATGCTAGGAAGTACCAATGTGTGAGGAACAGTCTAATGTTTTAAAGTAGGAAGCATTTTGGAAATATTACCTTGCCCCAGGAATTCAATACTACTTTTTAGGCAATTGAAAAGTGCTTAGAGGCAATGGGTCTTTAGTTATCTTCCAATTATTTTTTCTTTTTAAGAATGTAACATTTAATAAACTATACAAGTAATAAATCCTTATTGTTGGGAGAAAGAACAGATGAACCAGAAAGAAAAAAAGAGACGAGACAGAACAGAAATAATCAATAAAATTACCACAGACATCATTTAAGTGAATACTTTGGTGTATATCTTCCTAGATATGCTTGTAACTATTTATTACCTATTAGTCTATATTTTAACGGAATCATATTGTACTTCTTATTTTTGTATAGGTATCCTAATATCTTTGGTGGCAGCCTGTAAGACTGGCTACTGTACTCAGTATTTTAAAACTATTCCACCGCTATTCAGGGACAAGTGCCTCAGTGAGTTAACTACTCTGGGCACTCTACAGTATCACAGGTCAACAGAAACCATGTTAAAATGAACCAACTTTTCTGCAGAAGTCTTTACTCCCACATAGGTAACTATCCAGAAAATAGATGACCAGTCTTTCATACTCAGGAGCTGGATAATCCTGTGTTTCTAGCCAGAATGACAATTGCAACCTTCACTCCTCCCATCCTTTTTTATCTCTTAAAACAGAAAAAGAGTGGGTCTCAGCTTTGATTCATTCTGAGCTTGCTGAGATAAACCTGTTGACTCATCACAGAAGAAACACCTCAATGGAACCAGCACCAGAGACTGGGAAACCACCCACAGTTAAATCACCACCCACAGTTAAATTGCCCCAAAATGCACTTGCAAAATCAAAAGTGCTGACCAGAGATACAGAAGGGCATCAACCAACCAGGTAATTAGATGTAATGGCCTCCTAGAAGGAGGGCCTATGGTATATGAAGACTTTGAATTATCTTGTTATTTACCTTTCAAAATGTTAAACAGGAGGTTTTAAAGCTCCGCTTTATTTAGTAAATGACTGCAATATATATTTGCTTTCATTTTCATATATGTAATATAAGAATTGTTCTCAATTCTATTGTTTAGAACATTTTGGCAGAAATATGTCTTTCTTATCTGGTAACCTTTCTTTTTAAGAAAAATTATTTTTCCACTAAGGGAAAAGCAAGAATGGCTACCTAGAAATCTAAGATAATAAAGGTTTTTATAGTTTAACTAAAAATAGATGCAATTAAGGAAATCAAAATTGTATTGTTACAGTTAGTGTATATTTTGTTAAATGTGTATCACACAGGTTTCACTTTTTTGTGTAGAACAATGCAAGATTAAAATAAATTGCTTCACTTAATTTTCTCTGATTTACTCCTGGGGCCTCCTAGAAAGAAAAATAACTACTAAAATAATTGAAATTACTGCAGGAGAAATTTTTCTTAAATGCTGTAACTTCAATAACAGAAGAAAAATATATATTTATGTAGAATCATGGTGAAAGAATGTGTGGTAGGATATTATTTAAGCTTGGAGAGAAAATCTTGTTGCTTTACAATTAAAAGTTGAGTGAAGCTTAAAGTTAGAGGAAAAACACATTTTTGGAAATATAAATATGTCAATTTAAAAGGCATTAAGATAAAAAACTTGTATTACTAATTGTCGCTATCTCAAAGTTTCCATAAAATCGGAAACTGGAAGATAGTAAGAGTTAATCTCTACCTTAATGACTAATATATGATACAATAGTTAGATATTTACTCAAAGTAAGAAGAAGTTTTCATTGGGAAGTAAATTTAGCACTGTATGCGTTTAAAAAAACACACAAAGAATTGGGGTAGCATATTTAAGATACATACACACTGAACTTATTGACGACAGTGTAGTCTATAGAAAATACTTTTTCGTATCTGTGAAACTCACTTTTTTCTTTCTCCAACTGATCTAGAGTGTCAAGTCAAGGATCTGCAGAAAACAAGGAAGTACCAAAAGGTTAAGTACAGTTTTTGGTAGCTACTGAGTTGGTATAAAGAAACCAGTAAGTACTAATGACCTAGGGAACAGATTTTAAGGATCAGTGCTTTTAAAAAAACAGAAAAATACAATAGTAGTTTCCAGATCAACTCTTGCGAGAGTATCTGCTGACTTTCTCATAAAGATAAATTTACCTTTGTTTTGAAAGGCAAAGTGCCTGATCAGGGACAGACATTCTTGGAGAAGCAAGTCAGCAGGACAACAGGAACTATAGGTTTGGTTATAGCAAGGCAGTGAAAAGGGAAACCCTGCATTGACCTAACAAAAGGATAATGATCTCAGAGTTTTGGTTCTTCAGAGCTTAATGGAGCTAAATAATTTCACTGGAAACAAAATCAACCAGAGAGAAGGGCAAAATGGCAATCAGCCACAAGCAGGTGACCTACGAGACAGCAAAAACACAATAGAAAAGAGCAGTTTTGTGTCCCACCAGAAGCCCAGCTCCAGTCTATAGGGGCACCAGGGAGAATCAAGAATTGTGGAAAGTCCTACCTTGGTCCAAAATAGCCCAAACAAAGTATCCTTGTAGGTTTGGCAGTTTCTAGGTTTAAAACAAGCAGAGTACTCATGACTACAGAGCAACAACTATGAAGCGTATCTACAAGCTTTATACAAAAATCTGTCTTGTCATTTCTACAAGTTCCCTTTACACCAGGAATGATATATAGTCAATTAGAGCTCACTGGGGTCACCCTAGACCCCAGCAAGTTCCACTGTGATTAACCAAACCCAAAAGAGGCACTATCTGCTAACAGCCAATAGTAAGTATAATTTAAAAATTACAAAGTACTCCCCTACTTAGACCCCAAGAACAGCCTATTGTTTCTGGCCTCTCCTACCAAACTCCTCATCCTGGGACTATAACATCATGACAGTGATGGTTTCTATTATTCAACTTGATGTCTTACCTGTAACGCCCACACATATTTTATCATTTAGATATTTGGAACTTTTTTGTATAAGAATTCCCCAGTCATGCCCCTTTCTCTCCATTGTTGATATTCAGCATCTCCTTACATCCCTATTCCTGCTTGGGTGCAACTATGTAGGTCTTATGAGCACAATTAACTTGTTTTAGCCTGCTTTTCTCTTCTTTTGTTGCATCTATCAGGACCATAGATCTTCCTTCTTTCTCTCATTGTCCCATTCTCACCCATCACTCTTACCCATAACCAACTCTATATCATTGCAATCAAAATCATGTTTACTTTTGAGAGTGAAGGAGCATATCCTGCATGTTACAGAACAAATAACTCATTAAAGATGAGCAAGTGGTTAAAAAAAAAAAAAAAAGAAAAGGAATATGTTATTTTATGAGTTTTGGGTGTATCTGATTCACCTAAACTTCACATAGTTTTTTGTAGATAATATACTACTAAAACATGGAGAAGCTGTATTCAGTGTCTCGATTATGGTCTTATTTAGATTTTTTCTCTATTTCAGAGGCTGAGCACAAGCCTCCATCATTTATAAGAAGAAATAATATGAAAATACCTGTTGCAGAATATTTCAGCAAACCAAAGTCTCCTCCCAGGCCTAACACTCAGGAAAGTGGATCAGTAAAACCAGTGTCAGCAAGGAGTATACAAGAATACAACCTCTGTCCCCAAAGAGCATGTTATCCTTCAACATACCGAAGGTAGAAGTTCTAGACTGGGTGAATTCTTTCATGAATACGAGCTTACCATTTACATCATCGAATTATTTTTCAAATGTATATTTTTGGTATTGAGGAATCAAGTGGTCCTCTTTATGGTAGCACATGTAAATCTAAAAATACCTGTATGTAATGCTACAAATAAATATTACTGGAAATGATGTTTCCATTTGTAGTTAATCCTATGTGTAAAAGAAATATGTTTATTTATATACTATGTTTCCAGTCTTGCACTATTAGTACATGAGCATACAGCCCTGATACTAGAAAAATCATCCATAATCAGAATTAGGCAGTTACAGTTTGACATCTACCCCAAACTCTGTTAGGGGGAACAAAACACAAAAAACAAAAAACAAAACACCACCATCACCACAAAAACAAACAAACAAAAAAAACAAACAAAAACCCAACAACAGAATTTTAACATGTGAGATGATTTTTATCATCTGGTGTCTCATTGTTGTTGAACTATTATGAAAAAATGCTCCCCTCTCCTCCAAAAAGAACACATACACAAATTGTTTCTAACTCATGAGCTAGAAAGAAACTAGTTTTCAGTCAGTACTAATGGTGGATATTAACATTTCATATTGAATTTTTTGTATTTTTAAAAGAAACCACTCTTGGGCCACAGATATGATTCTTTGAGCATGTTGCTGCAGTCTATCTACCAATAAGTCAATCCTTTATTTAGAATGTTCACACTGATGTTCATCAGAGATACTATAAATTCAGTGTGTGGTATGTGTATGTGCATGCATGTCTATGTATACATTAAATTTTAATGATAACATACTATGTGTCAGGAATCATTCTAAACACTTTAGATATAATAACTTAATTTTCACAAAAACTATTTGAGGTAACTACTCTTACTTTTCTCATTATTTAAAATAAGAAAGCTGAGGCACAGATTTGAACTCATTGTGATGGGATAAGTTGTAACAAATGCTATCATTCAAATACAATTATTTCCCACATGAGAGTCTAAAGTTTATGTTTCAAAGATGATTTTGCTTTACCTGGTGATTTAGAGGCCCAGAATCCTTCCACCTTGTGGCTCAACCATCACCTAAAGCTCCATTGTCAACTGTACCATGCTGGAAAAGAAAAAAATCAGAGTAAAGTATTAGTTTCCTATTGCTGATGTAACAAATTACCACAAACTTTGTGACTTAATGCAACACAAATGTATTCTGTCACAATTCTGTAGGCAGAGGTCTGAAACGGGTCTTACTGGCCTAAAACCAAGGTGTGGCAGGACTGCATGCCTTTCCTAGGCTCTAGGGAACTATTTGTTTCCTTACCTGTTCCATTTTCTGGAGGCTATCTACACTCCTTGCTTCATGGCTCTCTTTCATCTTCAAGGTCAGCAATGGTCAGTCAAGTTGTTCTCATAACAAATCACTCTGATGCTGATTCTGCCTCCATCTTCCACTTTTGGACCTTTGCGATTGCATTGGGTCTGTTATCCAGCTTATCCAAGATAATCTCCTTCATTTAAGGTCAGCTGATTAGCAATTTAATTCTATCTTCAACCTTAAATTCCCCCTTACCATGTAACTTAACACATTCAAAGGTTCTGGAAATTAGGATCTTTGAAAGGGACATTATTATGCCTTCCACAAGGAGGATATATCTGCTTAAAGTCTTGGCCTTGAAATGGTAAATATCACTTATAGTTACATTACATGGTTGAGAATTAGTATAACTGAAAGGGAAACTGATTAAAAACTCTTGAGTGGGAATCGTATTCCAATTACAGCTATGTTCTGTGTTAACAAAAATTAGCTTTTGGTGGACAATCAACTTTCTCCGACACAAAAATTTCATGGCTGGCTCAAGGTATGGCTAGAATCTATGTGCTTAAGCACTAGGTGCTACTGACACATAACAAGATTATGCTCAACTCATAAAATTAATGAAGTGCACTCTTTCTCACTTTTCTGTTATGAAGATGTTACAATGGCATTGCCAATTCTTTTTCCCTAAAAATTTGCTAACATTCATCTATCAGACCGCATAGGTTTTGTGTTTTGGGGGGTCGTAGCTTTTTGACAATTTTATTTCTTCTGTGGTAACTGGTCTATTTATATTTTCTGTATTTTTGGAGAGGAGGATCAATTTGGGAACTTCATGTTTTCCCAGAAAATTATCCATTTCATCCAGGTTTCCAAGTTTATTTTCATAGAATTGAGTTTTACCTCATAATTCATCTAAATTTGTTTATTCTACAATCTCATTTTTATGTATCTGTAATTTTTTTCTTGATCCAGTTAGCTAATTACTTTCACATTTTGCTAGTTTTCAAAACACAACGGATCTTGGATTTATTCATATGTCCAATAATTTTCCTATTTCTATTTTGTATCTCTTTTCAGTTTTTATTAAGTTCCATTTTTTCTTTTTATTTCTTTAGGTTCATTATTGTTCTAATGCCTTAAGTCAAATCTTCTTAATATGTTTATATTCAGTCATTCTCATTTATTAGCATAAAATTTTAAAGTGATGAATTTTCCTCTAATCACAACTTTAGCTAGATCTATAGATCTGATATGTAGTGTTTTTATTATCTCTATTTTCAAAATATTACATAATTTCAGATTTAGTTTCCTCTTTTATATAAGTTCTTGAGAAAAAAATTTTAAAAGTGAGGCTTTCATCCCATCTTACCAAGTTTATTTTCCAGTTTAATGTATTGTTATCAGAGAAGTTGCCTATATTGTTACTTTTGGAAAATTTTCCTTGTGGTCTAATATAGTTACTTTTATGAATATGAGTTGTATTATTGTTTTTTCAGCCTACAAAATTTGATATTACTATCTGTATTAATTATAGCATGTACATTTTCTACATATTGATCTTTTGTCTACTTACATTGTCATAGGTTGAGAAATATGAGTTAAAAACTCCTTATACTGATGTATTGTTTCATTTAATTCCCAAAGGCTCTCAATGACTTCAAATACTGTGTTACCTGATACACAGATATTCATAATGGTTAGATCTTTATTAAGGACTGCATTCTTGACAATTGTAACATGCCCTTCTCCTTTTCTTTATTTGTAATGTGTTGGACCTTATCCAATGTTAAGATTGTGACTTCTGACTTCATTTTATAGCCTGGTATGTCTTTTTCTATTTTTTATTTTCAATATTGCTGAGTAGCTTTAAATACAGCATGTATTTCTTTTTTAAATCCAATCTGGGAGATTTTTGGATCATTTAAATTTGCTGATAGGACATATAGATTTTGTCGTGTGATTGTGTTTTATGTTAGCATTGTTTTTGTTGCTTTTATAAATGTTTCACTAAATTATCTGTAATTTCCTTGTTTTGTTTAGTGAGTGTTCATTTGGTAACTTAGAAAGTTTACACTTTAAAAATCTTATCTAAGCCTGGGTTCCTCAGAAAGTGTAGCCTGAAACAAAAGCCTATATGTTATTACCATTTTAGGGCAGGCAATGTCAAAAAGACTGAGAAACAAGGGAAATGAGGCAAGAAATGAGAAAGCCAATAGAATTGTTAGCTACTGCTTTACAATTGTTTGCTCAAGCCCTAAGAGAGAGAGTAAATGGAGTAATATTTCCATTTTACATATAAAAACACTGAGACCTAGCAAAGGTTGAATAACTCATTCAAAGTCTCACAACAGTGGCAGTGGCAAGATTTATGCTTAGTCCAATTCCCTACTGTTTCCACTGATTCTGTCCATGTACCACCTTTTGATTCTGTCACTGCTTCTCTTCTTCACATTTATTAGATGACTACTGTATTTGTCTGGTAATGAGACAGGGAAACAGAGATAAATACCTGCATGCTAACTGAAATCAAAGTTTAATGACTACTATATGCCTTTACTGCCCTTAATTTGAATCCCTGCCATTCTCTTTTCTTTTTTTCTTTATCTCATTTTACACCTGTTGTCTGTATACTTTCTCAGGGCTCTATAGACAATTCTTGCCTTTTATCTACATCATTTCTGTGACCTTTTCTGTCTATAAAGTGAAATAGTATGTCCCTTTGCTTTATAATTGCCAGTCACTGGTGGATTTCATCATTGTTCATTCACCTCCCAAAAGATGTTTATTCAGTAGAATTACTTTCTTTTCTCGTTTTTGGTTTTTCCATTCTGAGCATTTTCAAATGCTATAATGTCAACAGCACCAATCTCTGGAGAATCAGAATGAAGCATGGTTCTTCTCTTAAGAATGAGCTTGCTTTATGATGACCGTAGGTCATTAAAGAAATTAAATGTGAGGAAATTCTATATTCCCACAGACATATTTTTTGATGCATTTATTTAGGTAGTTTAATTCTCTCCCTTTATTATGTTCTAACACAAGTAACTTTAATATTTACTTAAGTTTTAACAAATAACCTAAATAAACCAAAACAATGTTGAGAGAAAAGGATATATTAAAATGAGCAAAAAGCTTAGTATTTTTAAAACCAAAATTTTAAATACCTCAGAAACTAGTTATATCAAAAGAGGTAGTAATCTTTGCCTTCTTTTCGCCTTCTTGCCACCAATATCCTAGATAAGATATGGGCCTGTAGTGGGTAGAATTGTGTCCCCCAAAAGATATGTCAAATCCTAACACATGGCACCCTGTAAATGTGACCTTATTTGGAGACAGTATCTTTGCAGATGTAGTCAAGATGAGGTCATATTGGATCATGGTGAACTCTAATCCAATGCTGTTCTCCCTAGAAAAAGAGTTAGGACACGGATACAAACATAGAAGACAGGGTAGAAGACCACTTGACAACAAAAACTGAGATTGGAGTCAAGCCACTGTAGGCTAAGGAGCAGCAGGGGTTGCTGTGACAACCACCAAAAGCCAGGAAGAGGTTAGGAAGTATTCTTTCCTAGGGCCTACGGAGGAAGCATGGCACTGGGACATTGTGAGTCTAGACATTTAGTTTCTGGAACTGTTAAGACAATAAATTTCTGTTGTTTAAAGCCACCCACTTTGTGGTAATTTGTTACAGCACATCTAGGAAACTAATACAGGGTTTTTTATAATTAATAAAAATTAAACTTTTATTTGGAATGATTTTCCCCCACCTTTCATAATTAAACAGTGCCCTATTTTACATTACATAATTTAAGTAAAAGGCATAATATTTCATGCTAATAAACCACATTTTTTTTTACTCAGAAAAACATGAACCTTTGAAAAAATACAACTTAAGACATAAGCTTTGTTATTTTAAAATTGTAGGGCTTGTCTTTACTTACATATCTTGCCTATAGACCTCACCTTAAAATAGTAACTATAATAGATTACTAAGAACAAAGTAACAAAAATAGACAGTAAGTATCAGTACTAAATCCAATAAACTTTCTGTGTATATATGTTAGTAACATATACAGTATATTACACATTTTTAAAATACAACTTTTATATATTAAAAAGAAGACAAAAGAATAGCAACTCATTTTACCCAAACTCAATGAAGGCTACTGAAATCTTTTAGCTGTGACAGAGACCATTTTACCTTAAACATTTAACTGCATATACAATTACTGATAGGAAACTAAAACAGCTCCCTTTTACACTATTATTTCTTGCCAACATTCCCATAAAAATGTTTAGTTAAGGATTTTTGTACTTAATAAAATTCAAATTGTTCTTAGGGTGTTCAACACAACCATTCAAGTAATAAAATAAGTATTCAGTATTACAGAATAATAAAGTATTTCAGTATTATTCAAGTAATACAGATATATGGCAAATCAATCATGTTATCAACAACTAATAACTAAGAACCATACATGATGAGGACAGATGTAAATATATATTTACATGCATATTTTCACATGTGTATTTGATTTATAGAAACATACATTAGTATGCATATTCTTATAGGAGAGGAGGCAGAAGCACATATAAACTTTATTCATTTTAAGAGCCAACAAATTAAAAATATATATGGAAAAAAAACCCACAGCTGCTAAAAACTGTTCCATTTTAAATGCAGGTAAAGACAAAATTGATCTTTCAACAGCAACAGCCTTACAAAATAATTTAGTCTGCAAAATTCAATTTTATAATTGAAGTAACTTATCACCATTGTAAGAATTAAGAAAATGCATTAAAGAGATTCTCAACTCTTCAGTAATTA